TTTCTGGTTATTTCTCATTGTAGAAATTACCAGGTGGTAAGATCCCTTCTCTCCAAAGTAAATTTTTGTGTTTTCTTTTCCTGGATAGTTCCGATACTCACCACTCAGGAGTTATTGTTCCCTGCCAGATACATTGTTTTTACCTTTTAAATTTATGATTTCTGCATTGGGTTTTGTGGTGGCCAAATAACAGGTGTTGCTACTTTACCTCCTTGAGATCACTGCATAATTAACTATAAGAATTCAACCAAATTCTTTGCCATTTCTTTACTTTTATACTTTCTTTTATAATATATAGATTAAAATTTTACAGTCATCTCTTGATATCCATGGGGGATTGGTTCCAGAACCACCCATAGATACCAAAGTCCACACATACTCAGGTCCTTCAGAACCCACCCATATGAAAAGTCTGCCCTCCTCTTATATGGGTGTCTTATCCTGCTAATAACCGTATTTTTCAGTCTACCTTTGGTCGTCAATGCAGAACTCTGTGATCTGGAGTCCTGAATGTATTTAGTGAAAAATATCTGCATGTAAGTGGGCCTACACAGTTCAAACCTGTGTTCAAGGGCCAGCTGTATATTCAGAGTAATAATAGGTCAATTTATGTGAATATATAATGAGAACATCTAGAATTGTGTTTAAATCTTAGCTTTTATATAATAAGAAAACTTAGAATGGATTTTCTTATATTAGTTTTCAGACATTTGAGGCCAAATACACACTCAGACACATGTGTACATATAAAATTTGGAGTATTTGACTATTAATCTAGGCCAACGTGATCATAGAAAAAACTTTATTAAGTCATGATTTTTTTTTCTCCTCACATTTAGTGTATTTTGGCTATTTATTGAAAATATATTTTTGGCCAGGCACAGTGGCTCACATCTGTAATCCCAGCACTTTTGGGGGCCAAGGTAGGAGGATCACTTGAGGTCAGGAGTTTGAGACCATCCTGGGCAACATAGTTAGACGGCATCGCTACAAAAAATTAGAAAATTAGCAAGGCATGGTGGTGTGTGCTGGTAGTCCCAGCTACTCAGAAGGCTGAGTGAGGTAGGAGAATCACCTGAACCTAGGGGTTTGATTCTGCAGTGAGTTATGATCTTGCCATTGCACTCCTACCTGGGTGACAGAGCAAGACCTAGTCTCGAAAAATAGAAAATATTTTTAAATATTTTCTTTAACAGCATAGTATATTTATTAGATTATTAAAAATAATTATTGTAGACAGCTATTCAAAATTAAGTCATCTTCTTATTTGTTGTAGGCAGTTGATTGCTAAAAACAAGGATCCCTGTGACTCCTAGTATTTTCTAGTCTTTTCCTTGTCTAGCTGATTCTGTAGTCCAAAAAACACCTATTTTCCCGATCTAAAATTCTTATTCTGACCAGTTACATAATGTGGTTATTCTGAAAATGTGAAAGGAATTTAAACAGTAGAAGTGCTGAATGTTTGTGGTTTAAGTCCTACTCAGGATAGAGTGCCTTTTAAGAAAGAAAGTTGGTATACATATAGCAGGAGTAGAAGGAAGTAGCAGTTTTCTTAGTTTTGGGCCGTTGTGGCAGTGGCTAACATATATAGAGGTACTAATGGCTCTGAGGAGAGGACCACGCTCTTGAGATTGCTGTGGTTGTGAAAGAGAGCTAAGGGTCATACATTTTAATGAATCATTTGTGCTTCTTAAACTTAGAAATAATTTCATACTTGTAGATACAGTATAAAGAACTTCTGTATATCCTTCATCAAGATTTGCCAAATGCTTATTACATTTACCATGTTTTTTTTCTCTATATATATGTGTATACATGTATGTTATTTTATTCTGAATAACGTGAGAAGTTGCAGACGTAATGCCTCAATTTCAGGCTATATATCCTAAAATCAGAATACCCTAAAATCTCTTATTATCATAGTATCATTATCAAAATCAGAACATGCAGTTTTTAACACATGTTTGTTCACTTGGGGACAAAGTATAGGTGGAGTAAAAGTATAAGCTTGCAAAACTACTTTAAGTGCTTATGGGAATTGCAGTCTTTTTAGTGGTTAAGAAATTAATACAGAAAATTATTCTGATTTAGAATAAAATCAGTGGAATAACAGAGTAACACAAGGTACATAAAAAGGACTCTAGAAATGTGAGGGGAAAAAAAAGCAGTCATTTCAACTTAGGGATCAGGGAAATACTTCTCAACTGGTGCAGAGTCAGGCTCAGAGAGGTCAAAATGCCATGCAGAAGGACAGTGGGAGGGAATTCACTTCGTAGAAAACATCCCCCATGTTCTTCCTGCCCTTGACCACCAGAGTTCTGAGAATGAATATGTTACTACAGTTACTCAGTACTGAAATATCAGGAATACACAAGATACGACAGGTTCTGTTTGTACCAAAGTCGATACAATCCTTTTTCCGCCTTTTAATTAGCAGATTTTAAACTTAACATTATTAGGCTAATCAGAAATAGATTTCCCTTCCTAAGCCCTTGTTCTTAGGTTGTTTTTCATTAATATCTTCTTAATTACGAAAGACAAGAAGGAATGGAATTGATTCATTACAATTACCTAGAAGAATGGAAGGAATGTTTTTAAAAACTTAATTAAGTCACTGTCAATCTAGAATTTGGTTGTTAGTTACTGTTTTTATATTGTCTAGCATTAATATACTGTATTAAATGTACACGAGTTACTCTCATATTCACTGTAATTATTCTGAATTAGTCAGAAAAGGCCTTACAAAGTACTGTGGTATCTCATTTTCAGACTGATACATAAAGGTAAGAAGGAATGAAATAGATACTTAGACTGATAATAAGAGTACAGCAGATTTTTGAAAATCCAGTTACTGAAAATTGCTTTTGAATAGTTCAGTTTTTTAGTTTTAATAATGTTTATACTGCAATATCGTGTCTGAAAAATTATAGCATTGTTACTCTTTTTCTTAAGCACGTGTTTTAAGAATTTAAAGGTTTATATGTTGTTTTAATTAGGGTTTTTTGTTTTGTCTTTTCAAGTTCACATATATAGCCACGTGAGGTTTTACAATGTGAATATTTAGTCCTTTGGCTAGCAAGGAGATTTTCATAATGGAATTTCAGACCCTATTAAATAACTTTTTTTTTTGCAAGCTGTTCTTGATCTCTGGTTTTTAGATCTTCATTTTGATACATCTAGTTTCCTTATTACTTTCCTTTTTAGAAATGATGAATGTATTTTGACAGCACCATACTAAAAAAGGCTTTAATTTATATGAGTTATTTTTAGAAAATAAATTTGCTTGTTTGATTTTAGAATTCTTCAGCCTGGTATTTAATATGTTTAGATAGTGTATGCAGGAACAATTTTTCTGAAGTTTTCAGTGCTGGGGTCAGAATGCGTATGGTGCTATCATCCTGAGATTGTACACTTGCAGACATGGGTATGTTTTGAGCAGGCCAAAAAGTATCCTGCATTCCTCAGTCTCTCTTAAACCCAGTGACCCAGTATACACATTTTTGTTTCTAAGTTATCATAATTTTTAATGACTCTTGTAGAAATTTTCCCACTTCTTTATGTCCTGCTCAGTACTGTGTATGAAGTTCAAGGTTGGGTTTGGTCTAATGTTAAAAATATAACATTGAACGTTGTTATCTGGGCAAGTCTTTATGAACTTTTGATCCTAACGGTGCACTGATCTTATATTTCTGACTTTAGTATTGTTATAAAAGATTCATGCATATAATTGTTCTTTGGAATTCCTCTTACCGAAAGAGGGCAGCCCTCAGGTATAGTTAAGTTAACCTAAAACAGCGTATCTCTAAACCTTAATGTGGTCTATTTTTTATTAAAAAGCTCAAATTCCATTGAACCAAAGTACCACAGTTACTTAATTGGCTCCTATTTTATTTCAATTCTTCCTTTTTAAAATAAAATAATATACATATGAAATATTTTTATATTTACATTAAAATATGAAGTATTTGTTATATTCTAAATGATTTCCTAAATTTCCAGTTTTGAAGTGAAATTACTGGATCAAAAAATGTAATTATGGCTTTCAAAGGATTTCTAAGTGCTTTATCAGTTTATGTGTATATCACTTTTGTAGAAACTAATGTTGAATAGTTACATTCTAGGTTATAAAAGAAAATTTAGAACAAATTTAGTTTACATCCTTTCATGTTATAGTCTTGAGGAAGATGGCAACATGTTGTACTGGAAAATCCTCATGCCTTAAAGTGTCCATTGCCTGTAACGAGTTAGCTTCCCTCCTATACACCTGAAAGGGCTTTAGGGACTATCCTTGGTAAAATTGAGACAATAGTCACTCAGATCTTTTTCATATCCTCCGTAGAGCATTAAAACTGTGTGGTGCCTTGTGCAAATCACTTGCAATCTTAAACTCACTTTAGAAAGGAGATATTATAATCTGCCTTCCAGGATGGTAATACTGCCTTCAAGTTTGATTCAGTTGTTATCTAAGGCGTTTAACTCTTTTATAGAAGTCAGCTGTTACTAATATTACTACTTTATTGCTTAAATGTTTACTTTATTGGGAAACAGTATAAAAGGGGAAGTAAGAATACTAGATTTGAAGTCACAAATTGCCTGGACTTGGAATTTTAGCTGTGCCATTTAGCTGTGTGGTATTGGGCAAATTACCCTCTTTAGTGTCAAGTTTCTCAAGTATAAAATGAAGTTGTCATAGTAATAAAAATTAAATGAGGCTGTATTTAAAAGTGATTAACACATTTCCTAACACATTTTAAGCATCAATAAATGTTAGTTTTCAGTAACTGTTGTTATATGATTATTGTATTTGTTCATTATTACTGCATAAGAAATTGAAAAACTAGTGGCTTAAAATAACAATACATGTTTATTATCTCCTTGTTTCTGTGAGTCAGAAATTCAGCAGCAGCTTAGCTGGGTGGTTGCAGTCAAGCTGTCAGCAGGGGCTGTGATCATCTACATATTATTTTGAACCTAATCATTATAAATTTTATATTTCGCAGACTATGTCTTCAGCAGTGGTGCAGTTATATGCAGCAGATCGGAACTGTATGTGGTCAAAGAAGTGCAGCGGTGTTGCTTGTCTTGTTAAGGACAATCCACAGAGATCTTATTTTTTAAGAATATTTGACATTAAGGTGAGTTTTCTTTTGCTTTTACTTTAAACTCGAGGTGATTAAGTTTTCTGTATCAATTATAATTTAGTTTAGATTTATTTGTTTATCCTTTATGTGATATTTTAAATTGTACATAAACTAATATTAGAAGAGTGAAGTGGCCGGGCTTGGTGGCTCACACCTGGAATCCCAGCCCTTTGAGAGGCCAAGGCAGAAGGATCACCTGAGCTCGGGAGTTCGAGACCAGTCTGACCAACATGGAGAAACCCCGTCTTTACTAAAAATACCAAATTAGCTGAGTGTGTTGGCTTATGCCTGTAATCACAGCTGCTCGGGAGGCTGAGGCAGGATAATCGCTTGAACCCCAGAGGCGGAGGTTTCGGTGAGCGGAGATCGCGCCATTGCACTCCAGCTTGGGCAATGAGAGCGAAACTTCGTCTCAAAAAAAAAGAAGGGTGAAGCTTGATTTTTAGATTTTGACAGACAGAAATCATGACCAAATGGGAGCATGTCCTAAGCCAGCATGTGCATAGTTTCCTATTTTATCTTTCTACTGCTACCGTGCATTAAGACTTTTTTTTAAATTATGCCTATTGGGTCTTGGGCTATCTCCACACACTATATTTTTTTAATGATACTCTTATTCTATCTTGTTCATTATAGAATAGCACACATAGTCTATTCAGGGAACAACAAAATAATATTTTAGCTCAGTATGTACTATTAGCCCAAGTTTAAAACATTTCAATATCTATCAAAATCTGTTTCCTACTCATTTTTTCTTATGTTGTTTCTCATGATAGATATATTCAGATTTTCATAGCTTTATATCCCTCACTCCCAATCATAAATCACATTGCTATAGATTGGATACCCTTTGTTAGGTACTTATTTCTTATAGTTGTCATAAAACTATCATTTTGCTAAGATGAAGTCTCCATTATTTTTTTAAAAGCCTTTCTGTAAGTAAGCCTCCATGATTAATATTTACATGTGGCAATAAGTGTAATGAGATTTTAATTATAAAAAACTAAAACTGCCTCTAAACTCCTGGGCACTAATATGACCTGAATAATAGAGATTTTTACACCTCTGGCCTCAGCTTTATTTGTAAAATGAGATAACAATATTTGGTCTGTTACAAAGAATTTCACTGAGATTAAATAAGATCTCAGTTACAATATTTGGTAAATTAGTACTTCTTTTGTTGTTGATTTACTTTTTGAGATAGGGTCTTGCTCTTGCTCTGTCACCCAGGCCGGAGTGCACAGCTTACTGCAACCTTGACCTCCTGGGCCCAAGCAGTCCTCCCACCTCAGCCTCCAGAGTAGCTGGGACTACAGGCGAATGCCACCAAACCTGGCTAATTTTAATATATTTTTGTAGAGATGGGGTTCTGCTGTTTTGTCCAGGCTGGTTTCAAACTCCTGGACTCAAGTGAGCCTCCTGCCTCAGGCTCCCAAAGTGCTGAGATTATAGGCCTGAGCCATCAGTCCCGGGCTAAATTAGTGCTTAAATTAGTGCTTCTTAATGTGCTTCCAAGACGGCTGAGCGATATGGCATGCTCCTGTCACTAGCAGTGGCTTACTATGGCTTACTAAACACATACTATATGTTGGGAGTGGGGATTCTGGGGGGGTGGGGAACGCATACATAGTTTGAAAGAAATCCCTAAGTGCTTTGACATAGTTCTCATAACCATTGAGAAGCACTATTCAGAAATGGCATACACATACCGGCATACTACTCCACTAAGAAGAAAGGAATTCCATTGCAGTGGTTATATAATGTGTGAACAGTGAATTTTACATATTTTCAAATTGTGGTCTAGATAGAACCTTGCATTTCTGAATAGGGCAATGACTATCTTTCTCTAACCACTTATTTCTAATTGTAGATAATTACTGCTGAACGCTCATTAATTAGTCACCTTTGGTATTAAGGTTAAACATATTTTTTGTATATGGCAATAGATATGGCAGTCATCATGGCACTCTTATCCGTAGTTTAACTTTGATGCATTTTAATTATCAGTCTCTTTCTGCATCATGATTAATACTACTTATACCAGTATATAATTAGAAGGCTACTCTGCAAAAGTTAAGAATTTGAAGACGGTTAATGAGCAGTATAAGGAAGGTATACTTGACCCTCCCACATCTGTAAAATTGAGAAAAAGAACATAAAAGTATCCCTGTAATATATTTGATAGTACATCATCTAAATATTGCTGGTGGAACTGTGCTTTCGTAATCAGTGCATGTACAGAAGTATCCTATTCCTTTTATGTAACACTGATGACCTAGTAATTATTCTGGTTATGTGTTTGACCAAGTAACTGAATTTGGAAATGGTTGGTTAGTGAGATTATATCTTAGCTGAATCAAATTCACTTGATATGTAGGTTTTATGAAAGATAGGTTATCCAGTGTTTACACTTTTAAGATTACTGATTAAATTATATGACACTACTTATAAATGTTATATGTGTGCATGTAAAAGTTATTTTTAATATAAACAGTTATCTTAATAGGAGTCATCTGCTTCATTTTATTCCTAGAGATTACGTTTTGGTAGTTCTTTTTATAATATTTGACTTTTTTCTAGGATGGGAAACTATTGTGGGAACAAGAGCTATACAATAACTTTGTATATAATAGTCCTAGAGGATATTTTCATACCTTTGCTGGAGATGTAAGTCATATTTTTCTTTATCTCCATCTTTACTTTTCTCATTGCTTGCCTTTTCTAATCCAAATTATTTATAGAGCCTTAATGAAAGATCAAATTCACTTTACTATTTTATGTTTTTGCTAAAGATGAAATATTCAAATTAGTATTTGTGTCTGCTATGATAGGTAACTTCTCTAATAGTAATCTTTTACTTGACCTTCTCCATGCTTTTTGTGTTAAGTTATTCAGATCATGAAATAATGTCTTATCTGCTAGTAAAGTTAAACCTTTCCTTCTTTAGAAATATACTTCTGTTGCTCATTGTTTTTATGATATAAAGCTAAATTTGTACGTTTTGTTGTTTGCCTTTTAATGAAAATATTTCAGACTTGTCAAGTTGCTCTTAATTTTGCCAATGAAGAAGAAGCAAAAAAATTCCGAAAAGCAGTTACAGACCTCTTGGGCCGCCGACAAAGGAAATCTGGTAACCCTTTTTTTTTTTTCCCTTTTTTAAATTACTTGTATTGGGCCAGCAAACTAATGCACATGGGGCAAGTGTAGTCCACTTCCTGTTTTGTAAATAAAGGTTTATTGAAACTCAGCTATATTCATTGGTTTACATGTTGTCTTTGGCTACTTTATTTTTTTTTTTTGCCACAACACAGTTAAAATAGTTATACATAGTTAAGTATACACAGTTAAATAAATGGTCCTCAAAGCCTAAAATATTTACTATTCACAAAAAAATTTTGTGGTCCTTACTTTAAATAATATTTTTGTTAAGAGCTATTTTTTTTAGATTTACTGAAGGACTGATTTCAATAACCTTTTTTGTTGATAAAATTTCACATATATTGACTTCTAATTTTGCGTTTGTAATAACATTGTTTGTAATATAAAGTTTTAAGAGTATTTTATACTTTGTAAACTAAGACTTTAGGCAAGCTTAGAAGCAAATAAGCAGAGTTGCTAACAATATCTATAAACAATGCCTTGTCTCTCTGTTTTCTTCTTAATACTGTATACTATAAAACCCATAAGGAACTTAGTGTGTGAGACAACTCCAACACATATAAAACAATTATAGAACAATGCAGGATAATGTAAAGCTTTAAACTAATTGGTATAGAACTATTGTTTGACAACAGTGTACCAGGCCTTTCTTTTGTAAGTGAAGAAGAGTGACTAAGAAAGGAGAACCTCACCAAAATCATCTTAAACAGATCAGTTTCAGGAGAAAGAACATGTGGGAGTTGAAATTGACAAATAGGTACCCTTAAAACTAGCCATGCCCTATGTACTATTTGAAAAGTCTTTCTGTACATCCAGGGGTACATGTTACCCCAATTTAAAGATCATTGTATTTAAGGTGGGCTTTACCAATAAGAGGAAAAGGAAGCCAAGAAAAAGGAAACATATCTGAAAAACATCAACACAAAAACATGTTATCTCTACTTTATATATGTTTATTGTTATTTTAGTAGGTTTCCAAGAGGGAGATGAGGTAAAAATGAAAATAAAGTGAGCTAAATTTTTGCTTTACTATTGCCATATTACGATATTCTACTCATAATGAGTGAATAGGAGAATTATTAGGGGCCCATTATTTTTGTTACTTTTGGGGGCCAATGGCATTTACCACTTGATTTCATGCTAGGAAAGGATTTAATGATATGATATTGAAACTCAACTTTAGGAATAATTCAATGCCTGTTTCAGTGGCATGCTGTGGTGGTAAGCCAGGGGCTTTCCAGGTTCCTTTCAGTTAAAACGTGACATTTTCAATATACAAAACAGTAAAAATATTTCTGAAAATATAAAGTAATTGGTTTTAGAATTGGTAAGTTAAAGGTGTCTTTCACCTGGCACAGGAATTCTATTTTATATGGTTTTTAAATTTTTAGGCAAAGTGTTCCAAAACCAGAAAATGATAACATTAGGAAAGCAGCTGAGTTATTTTGGGGTAGCCCTTCATACTGAGTCAAACTCCATCTTTACCTTTCTTTAACTGAGACACATGGGGTCCAGCTTGTGGAGCAACAAAGAATTCATCTATTTAATTTTCCTCACAGTAGTCATTTAGTAGTGGAAGCCAACTGTCCTGTCCTCCTTATTTTCTTCTCGTATTTAGCCTAATCAGTCCCACTTTCTTGAAATATTCTTATAATATAGTTTATAGTTTTTTTCATCTTGAGTACTGTGCTCTGAATCTACTATAGCTTTGATGTCTTTTTCAGAATATGGTATACAAATTTGAACACAGTACTCCATATGTAGTCTGACCAGTACATCCCTTGATTTAATTAAACACAGTTCTACTAACATTTCTAGCAAATGCCTTATACCATTAGCCCCCATTCTGGTTTGTTCAACCAACCATCCCCCCTTTTTTTCACATATATTGCCCTCAAGTAGGATGGTGTCATGTATCTAACTGTGTCTTAGAAGGTATACTCTAAACTTTTACATTTATCTTAGTATATTTTCCTATTTGTGTCATCTGCCAGCTTAAACATTTTCTCTCTGAGTACATAAATGACATCACCTTGGAAATTGGTGATTAATAGGTATTGATATAGAGAGGACTTGCTTATTTTAAACGTTTCAGAAAGCTATTTCATCAGATTATCAGAGTAATACAGTTATATATCCCATTGCTAAGATTTTTAACTTGTTTACTAAATAAATCCTACTGATTTTGGTTTATGGTCATTTATAAACTAATTATCTTATTGCATCATTTATTTATATAATTTCAGTGAATTTTATGTTAGAAAATCTTTGGAAATTACATTTTTAAAAAATTCTTCTTTTGAACTTTCTTGAAACCAAATAGTGTTTTGGTATTAAGAGTATGAATGCAATACTGGTATGTAATCATGATATGTAAGAGTATGAATGCAATTAATTGATGGAAATTTCCCAAATTTTTCTCTTACCTTATTAGTTGTAGCTTTCAGTAGTTTTCTGGTCTGTCTCAGTGCTCAGAGCTCCCTGAGTATTCTCATTCCCTTTGTGCTTTTATCCAGTCTTACAGTTCTGAAAACTGTATGCTAATGATTCCCAAAGTTTTGTCTTCAATAGACACAGCGTCTCTGACCTTCAGAATAGTTAGGTGGTAGAATAGCTTTTAGACTTAACATGTGTGAGCAGAATATTTGATCCATGTCCTGTATCCTGAACCCCCAGACCCACTCAGACCTGTTATTGTTCTTCTACTAATTTTCCTTGTCTCAGTAAAAGGCATTTATTCCATCTTATCCCCCAGGCTCACCATGGTTCCTTATAAATATCCTATCAGAGTCTTATTGGCTCTGCTTTCAAAAACATGTCTTATCTGACTATTTCCTACCACTTTTTCTGCTACCATCCTGATCTGTCAGCTGGACTGCCACACTAGCTCTCTGACTGCTTCTCAATCCTTTTTACCACTATCTCTTTTCTATGCAGTAGCCAGAGTAAACTTTTAGAAATGTAGATTAGATTATATCACTTTCTCTATTTAAGATTCTATAAGAACTTCCTGTCATATACATATAAAATCTGTAGTCCTTAACCATAGCCAATGGAACCCTGTATGATCCAGTCCCCAACTGTCCTTCTGACTTGTCTCCTTTCACTGTGCCTCTTGCTCACTCCAGTCCAGTCTTCCTGAGGTTCTTTCATGTTGCACCCTCCTTGGGGCCTTTAAATATATGGTTCCCTCCTTATTTTATTTAGATCTCTGCTTAAATGTCAGGTCTTCTGAAAAACCTTCCTTTGTCACTCATACATCAATTTAGGAATGAGAGTTTAAGTGAATTATTTTTTTTATGTTGATGTTGCCTTACATATATTTAATAACGTTCTTCTAATTTATTTTCTAACAGAGAAAAGACGAGACCCCCCAAATGGTAAGCTTTTTGATAATTATTAATCTTTTAAGATTTTAGATTACAGTTTAATCCTTGTGGTAACATGTACCATACATTAGTAAGTTATATTCAGTATCTATGATCAAATTATACAGTTTATTATGTTCTAATTTTTCATTAATTACTGACAGATGAAACTTAGGAAACAATATTCTTCGTATTTTTCTAACATGAAGAAAGAATACTTAGGGTGAAGTTGAAGATCACTAATACTTAAATCTTAATTCTGGATTCACATTTGACTAAGTATACAATCTGGCCTTAAAATTTTTCCCAGAGGCAGTACATTTTGTCTAGCATATTTGTTAATTTCCTACTTTAAGATTTTTCCTTTATTCTTATCTCAAAATATTATTTCACACTGGTTATGTGTTATATGAAGCCCCTTTCAGAATGAACACCTACTGCTATAGTATATTTAGAACTAATTTGGCTGCATATAATGCTCTTTAATTTGATATCACTTGAAGCATTATGAATTCATTTTTAAAAAAATATTGAATACCAGAGAGTAAAAGCAGAATACCAAGATGTAAAAGATAAGGTCTCAGGGGTAGAAACTCTTACCCTAGACTTCATAAGCTCCCTGAAATTATGTGCCAAATATGTTCTTTTCTCTGGAGAGAGAGGATCTATGGCTTTCATTGTATTTAAATGAGGTCTCTGATTCTATGAAGGTAAAGAACATTCTCCATGACCCTTCATTATAATAGAGAAAATACCTGCTTCTTTTTAAAAGCCTGTCTCATATCCTCTTATCAGAACCTAGAATGATTATTCAAGGAACACTTACATACAGAGTTCTTAATATATGATAGCTGTTAGTGATTGTTTCTTTTAAAGATATGTTGCCTTTTGATTTTGTCCTCAAATTACTTTTCCTGATATAGAAACATGAGCCAGATGTTGCTGTATTAAATTTTGGGTTATTTACCGTATTAGTTTTTTTAAATGCATGACTACTTCAGTAGTGCTTAACAGGTACCAGATATTGTATAGTTTCACTTTCTCTTTTGAATAGAAATTTAGGGCTGCTGTGGGAATTGAGGCAATCAAAACTTAGCATAGTGCCTAATAAATGTTGGTTATCCTGATGAAGGTAATGACAATAATAATAGCAACTACTGTTTAATGATCTTTTACTACTTGCCAGGCACTGTTCAGAAACCTGAAGTAGCTCTATTATCTCTGTTTTATAGATAAGGAAACTGAGGCACATATAGGTAACTTCCTCATGGTCTCATAACTAGTAAGTAGTGAAGCAAGATTCAGCATCAGATGATTTGACTCTAGAGCCTGGCTCCTTAACCACTGTTATGTCAAGATGATTTTAAAGGCAAAACTGAGACACAGGGTAAATATCATGTCTCAGGATATATAAACTAGTACATGGCAGAGGCAAAAGAAACAGAAGCAGCTGAGTTACAAGTTGTTCATCTGTGAACTTTTAATGTAGTATTAGAAATTTTCCTTGATGTAAGCCCAGTACCTTTTTGAATTTGTTACATTGAGCTTGAAGAGTATATACAGTGTTGAGTACCAACAAAGAAGACTTTCTAGTTGTGCTATTCAAACACTCTGGAGAAAGTACCCAAGATTTCAAAGTGTAGATGCTGTAGAAATAATAGGATTAAGGTTGTAAATACATGTATCCATGTTGGATCAGTTCCAGGATCCACCGCCCCATGGATACAAAACTTTACAGACACTCAAGTCTGTGATACAAAATGACATAGTATTTGCATATAACCACACATTCTCCTGTATGCTTCAGATCCTCTCTAGATGACTCATAATACCTAAAACAATGTAAATACATGCTAGATATATTTCATCTTAGCCAAAAGACTGAGAAGCAGTGCTGGGTAAATAGTTGTTATACTGTATTGTCTGGGGAATAATAGCAAACAAGAAAGATCTGTACATGTTCGGAACAGAGGCGCCCATCCTTTTTTTTTTTTTTTTTTTGATCCCAGTTGGTCAAATCTGTGGATGTGGAACTCATGGATATGGAACTGTGAATATGGAGGACTGACTGTACTTTATTTCCCCAAATCGTTTATAAAATGAATTTCTGAAGAGGCACGTAGTTTCCATGAATAGATAGAATTTGAAAATTCTTTATGTAACAGTGTTTTTTCATAATTTTGTTGCCCCAGTAAGAGAGCCACTTAGAATTAAATGTAGTTTCTTTCTCTGAGTTGGCTACTGGTTTTAAATCTTTAGTTTTAATCATTTGGTTCAGTGGTTTCAGACCTCATTAAATAAATGGAGAGTTTTTTAAAATAGTGTTGTTAAAGGGAAAAATTATACAGCACGTATTACCAATACTTGTATACTTACAAAATATTCATATAATATGGCATTAACATGTTATATACACAAAGAATAAAATAAATACTATCTTGCTTTCCTCACTAAATGGAGACCACTGTTTAGGAGGCAGCATTATTACTTTACTGTATTTGGTGCACCACCGCTAGGTGGCAGTGGTCCCCTGGACCATGCCCTGCAGTAGCTATACAGGTGCTTTGTCCCAGATCCTTATTTAGATTATCGGTTTACCAGACCTTTTCCAATTGTTAACTATTAAAAAGATACTTTACGTAGAATTTACATACATTCCTAAAATGCAATTCAGTATCTTTCTTACTTACTCATTTCTTTATTGGTCAGTCTCACATTTTAGCATATATACTTTCCAATGATTTATTTTCAGCTTCATGACTGCCTTGATATCCGAGGCCTCTAGGCCACCTGTTTTTCAATTGTTTTACGTTGGTGAGACTTCTTTGCTTTTTATTTAATTAATGGGAAACTTGAGTTCTTTTAGATTCAAAATTAACTAGACATATCTGTTCACAAGAATATTTAAAAACCTTTTCCTGCAACGGTTGTCCTTAATCAGAAGGAGATAGTTTGTCATTTGTTTTTTGAAAAAGAAGAAAAACAGCCCCCCTTCATTATATGTGTATATAGTAATTGTTCTTAGGATGAGTATAATTTCATAAATGGAATAATTAAACTTTACTAGAAATGACTTGGGTGTGTACATCTGTTACCAAATCTTTTATATCCTTTACGTTAAAAAATGGCTCTATACCTTAAATAGGTTATCACTTCTTTTTAGTGTGTCACTTGAAAGAGATATTCAGTTTGGCTTTAGAATACCATTTTAAACTTATTTCCTGACATCTTCAAACTCTAAAGTAAATAACTATTGTCAACAGAAATAACCAGGTAACTAAACTTTTGAATGTGTAGGAATCCATTTTTTCTAAATTCTGGAAGTTGTTAGTAAACATTTATTGAATAGTTGTTGGACCACAGACCAACAAAACGGATAAATTGGTAAAGAAATAATGTATTATGGCATTTGTAAAATTAGCAGTGTCATCCACCTTGTAGTTTGACTTTCATGTAAGAGGTAGAATAGTTAATTGGAAGGGTAGTAGACTAGGAACCAAAATACTGGAGTACACCTTTTCTTCTGTCACTAATTGTATGACTTTATAAAAATCACCTGACTCTTACTGTCCTTCGTTTTCATTAATAAAATGGAAGGTGATTTTGAAAAGAAACTAATTTTCCATTTAATACTAATTTTCTATTTATCTCTGTAATCTGGATATTTCTATATAAACAATGTTTAACTAGTACTAATGAAATTCATCTATAATGACTTAAAGAGATCATGTTGATGCATAACAGTATGTCCATGCCTGATTTTTGGGTAGAGGGAAGAGGGGTCTGACTACAGTAGGAGTTATTCCTTCCACGGAACACTTATATTTGTCCTTATCCATATTCTTGAATCTTCTTCAGAGACAGCTGAATTACTTTCTCTAGTGAGTTATAAATCAAGGTTATAAGAAGCTTATCTTTCAAAATATACTAGCTTGGATAATTTAAATCATTAAACTTAACTTTATGCAACTCTGTTTCCATGTTAATCATCTATAGTATAATAAATAGGTGGCTTTTACATACGCTAAAGTGGCAGAAAATATTTTTCTTGTGTTTTGCTTTTATGTTTTACTGGTGAGTCTGATTGTTCTTTATAGTTGCTGTTTGAATACTTAGTTCAGGAAAGATCATATGAATAAAGTGAGTTCCTAATTCTAATATTCCAAATTCTGTCTTAATTCTTAAATTTTACTAAGATATAAAGGTAAGAAGGTAAAAGTTATTTGTAGCACCTTATTGTGGATAGTGTTGCTGATACTGATTGGTAAAGATAAGTTAGAAGAAGAGAGAGGTCAGAAAGGGAGGAATGAGAAGCTAAAGCAGACCACCAGATAAGTCTGTGAAGGTCTGAGTGTAACCCCAATTCAACCTTCTAGCCCCCACATTCTGGGTATTCTCAGAAAGTCCTTTATTTTGTAAAACTACAGTAAATGCTGAAATCTGATACCTGAACAACTTTGAAAATTCACATCCTAATCTCCTAATCAGCCTTTCAGGTCATTCTGCACTGTTTAACTCACTGTTACTTCTTGATCTAATTTTTCAGATTATTCCTGGACAATGAAAAAGCTTTTAATGATTTTATCCATATTATTCACTAGCTTTCATTTTTTTCTAATAAATTATTTCTTATCACTATCAGCAACTTCCCATGGAATTTTTTAATGAAATTGTAAATAAAACTTTGGGATTATTTATGTATTATATTTATATATAAATAGAGTTTGACTATTAACAGGTAAGAGTTGAATTTTGGTAATATTAAATTTCCAAATTATTTACTTTTTTGATAAGGTGACATGGCTTTCATAAATTTGTTTTAGCTCTGTTTTGTCTTTAATAGTAGAGTTGGGGAAAAATAGGTTATATACAGTTTACCCATGTAAATGAACATTTTTTTTCCAGATAATTTTAGTAAGTAGGATATACTGGCGGTTTGGGGCATAATTAAAGAATTACAGTCAAATTGGAGTTTAAGGATCTCCTAATATACATTAACCTTGAGAGTTCTATTTGCCATTTATTGATTATGTTGGGGATCCCCAAGACCATCCTCATAAGTGGTGATTCACCTGAAGGACTTACAGGACTCAATCAATATATAGTTATACTCATGGCAAAGATTTATTACAGTGAAAAAATATAAAACAAAATCAGCAAAGGGAAAGACACATGGGATGAAGGTGAAGTAACAGAGGTTGCACCTAATTCCTCCAATAATTAATTGTGACAACATGTGAAATCTTGTCTAAAGGAAAAGTTTGTTTGAGACGTGGTGCCCAGGGTTTTTGTTGGGGACTAGTTACATAGATATCCCCTATCTTGCAGTTACCAAGATTCCAGACTCCCAGAAGGAAAGTTGATGTTCAACATAAACTGCATTGTTAGCACAAACAATTTAAGCACAATAAGCCCACCTCATCAGGGAATAGTGGGAACCCTATCCAAGTTCCCAAATGGGTCAGCTGAGGGCCAGCCTTGCAGGTGACCCTTTCTAAGGAGAGCAGTCTCAAGTGTGCTGTGTTAAACTCTTTTCTGCACAACGATGTTAGTACTTCATACATTTTGGAAGTTGTCGTTAATGTAGTCACCTCAGAGGAACTTGGTCTCATCAGAGGATTTGTCAGAGAATCATATATAAAAATAGGATCTTTAAGGAACATGTGTTGCCCTTTAGTTGAATTTTTAAGAAATTTTTCAGTTGCATGCTTTGCATACAGACTTTCATACTTTTAAGATCAAGAATTTTATTTTTAATTGTAAGACAAGTTTTGTGCTACATTTAGTACCACTTCTGAGATACTATTAATAATATGGAAAGGTGCCTTTGATATTTTTACTGTTGATTCTTGCACAAGATGAGTGCTTTAAGAATGTTTGCATTTTTAAGTTTTTAAATTCTGTACTTCTGGTAGTCAAGGTGTATTCGTACTGGTGGGGAAAATATCATTAAACTTAAGTATGCCAGTTTTGGAAAAAATGGTAATAATTTTGTATAAGTACCCTTTTTCCTCTTGACTAATCAAGTTGAAGAAAAGAGTTAAGCCTGTATTTCTCTGTTAAATTTAAAACAAAGTAGATACATATTTTACTTTTTTAATCCTTGTTTTGAGACATGTTTCACTTAACCATTGAGCAATGTGTTGGGTATGAGGCTATTATAATCAAAATTTAAGTGATCAGACTAATTATATTTAAATTCTAGCTGGAAGTTCATGTTCTTTATGAAATTTAATGTTATAAAAATGTAAGTTTGTTTTAAAATAGTGCATCTACATTAATTTCTTTAGGAACTTACAGGTTTTAGAAATTTAGGCAGCACTTTATGAAAAAATTAATGTGCAAGTTTAAAATAGAAATAATTTATAATAAAGTAATCCTACTTTAGGAAATATATTTACATTCTAAATTGTGGTTAGATATAATTGTTATCTTAAATTATATCCCTTTCATATTATTTTGGTTTTATTTGCAGGTCCTAATCTACCCATGGCTACAGTTGACATAAAAAATCCAGAAATCACAACAAATAGATTTTATGGTCCACAAGTTAACAACATCTCCCATACCAAAGAAAAAAAGAAAGGAAAAGCTAAAAAGAAGAGATTAACCAAGGCAGATATAGGAACACCAAGCAATTTCCAGTAAGACAGTTCTTTTACTCTTATCTTCACTTCTGATATTCATTGCTGCTCTTGATTTTTAACTTGTTAAAAGATTTTCTTTTCCTCTTGGGAGGGTACGTATATTCATCACTTGAATACCTTTTTAGCTATGCACTTGGTTAGCATTTTTGTGTGCGTGTGTTTTAAGGCAGTTGCTCGATAGACGTTCGTTGTACCTTACAGTTTATTTACTTTTTCAACTATCAGAAAAGAAAAATTTGATGAAGTTGTTTCTTCAGCTAATTGTTGGACATAAGAATGATTTCTCATTTTGCTCTATAAATACCACTTAGAAATTGTCTACATGTACTGCCTAGGGGCAGTAAAAACCTCTGGTATTTATATAATATATTTCAAGAAGTTCAATATGCATTATTTTATTTGCTCATTATGAAACCCCCATCCTCTCATATGTATAGTGCTTGGACTCTTATGCTAATTTGACAGTTAAGGAAATAGATGCTCAGAGATTTTTGTCCAAAAATTTTAGGTTTCAGTTATTGGCAGAGTCAGGGCTAGCATCCTGTTCTTCTGACTCCTTGTACATAGTTTTTATCATAATATGGTTATGTTTGTGAGAACTATTAGTTCAGACCAAAAATTCAAAGCTTTATAGATTGAATTTCATATATATTGTATTTATAATGCCCTTTGTGAATTTTATTTTTCTAATTTTTTCTATTTTCTACTTTAGACACATTGGACATGTTGGTTGGGATCCAAATACAGGCTTTGATGTAAGTATGTTTTCAAGTCATATACATTATAACTCTAAATATGTGGAGATATATTGGCCTAGATTTTTATTTTTATTATTTGTTTTGGGGTTTCTAGTATCTATTTGAATGTGCTTGTGTTTTGTGTATATATACAACCCATATTATTGTTATATCATTCATGGCTAAGTCTCTATAAAGACTTAGACCAAGGTTTTGTGTACCTTGGCTTTATACACTGTATAAATAAAATCCTTGTGCTTTGAAAGCCAAGAGCAGAAAATCATTTCTGCTAAGTAATAATTTCAGGGGAATGTATACCAAATTACTAGAAAGGAGTATAATCTAATTCTGAATATTCAGTTGTTGAATTATTTAGTTTTTTCATTCTCCTATTCTTTTTGGCAGTTTTGCCATTGTTTTATAATGCTATGAAACTGCTGGCAAAAATTAATCAGTTTGGAGAAATTATTTTAAAGAGAAATTTGTTTTGTCATTGGAGTAAAAAGTCCTTTTGGTTATTTTTGTTATAGCTACAATGTTAACTCTGCAAACATACTGAGCACCTCTTTGTGCTGGGCATTGTGCAAGGTGCTTGGAATTACAGGAAGATCCTTGCTCTCAGATTTTCTAACTAATTTACTTTTTTTGTGTTTATTCCTAATTTTACATACTTACTTAGGACAAGGTGGAATATATGAGCATTGGAGATGTCTGAATTACAAATAGGCTAATAGAAGTCTAAATGAGATGCCCTTTTTTGAAGGCAGAGGAACAAAAAAGAACAAAATAGGAAATCTATCTGTTCAGTTTTTCTAAATAAGATCTTTTAGTTAGCATGTAAGTAATGTTAAAAGTTTATAAAGGTAAAATAATTTCATAAGGACACAGGTGAGCCTTAAAATTATGTTTTTTTAAAATTGAGATATATTTTTATAGTTAGCAGTTACCTTCTTTTGTAGTTGAATAATTTGGATCCAGAATTGAAAAATCTTTTCGATATGTGTGGAATCTCAGAGGCACAACTTAAAGACAGAGAAACATCAAAAGTTATATATGACTTTATTGAAAAAACAGGAGGCGTTGAAGCTGTTAAAAATGAACTGCGAAGGCAAGGTAACTTACATTTCTATTCAGCATTCTATTTGGTTTTGTTTTAATCTTTTGAGGTCGGTTTCATGGAAAACAGGTACATTCATACATGTGAACCCTTCCTTGAGCAGAATGTTTAAGTTTATGAAAAACTGGTTGGCCCATCATACTATGTCTTAACATTATTTTATTATAACTAAAAAAATTTGTAAGATTTTGTTTATTAAGTATTTATAAAAAATCCATACAAAATCTTCCAGCTTTTCTATTTTAAAGTAAAAACTTATAGTTACCTAAATGTTTTATTTAAGGAATACTGTAAACCACCAGATTTTATTGTAATTCAGAAGAAGTAATTTAAATATAATTACTTTCTAATTAGTAGTATAAACATTTTCAGAATATAAATAATATAAATCTATTAATTTTGAAATGCAAATTCTTTTTCTTGGATAAAGTATATAATTTTCTTGTGTACCTGGGAGCACAATTTACAACCTTTTAAGATTTGATATTTCTTTTAAAGCACCTTGTATTTTAGTTTTGTCTTAATAATTATCACAGTAAAATGCAGATAAAATAAATTTTCCAATATAACAGTCATCTTTTTCCTATCTTATTCATTTAGGACTGCTTTCTTTTTTTCTTCCTAGTTTTTGCGTACTCACAATATTGTAGTTGAGTAAAAACTCCAGTTAAAACATTTTTCTAAAAAACTTAACTGTCATTTTAAATTAGACATTTGGTTTACTTGTGTCTTTTTCACTGCCAATGTTCATTTAATCTTTGATTCATTGATTGACTCATATAGTTTGTAAACATTATTATGCCAGTACTGGTCTCAGGATATTTAGATGTAAAGATAAGGTTTCTGCCATCAAAAATCTTAAGTCTCATATGGAAACCAATATGTAAATGAGCATAAGATCATAATTGGTATTGTGGAAACACAATGCTAATTCCACTGAAACTAGCATGATGCTAATTTACTTTGCAAAAAACCTATTTCCAAATTCTGTAGTTTTTTTTTTGAGACACAGTCTTGCTCTGTCATCCAGGCTGGAGTATAGTTGTGCCATCTTGACTCATTGTAACCACCGCCTCCTGGGTTCAGGTGATTCTCATGCTTCAGCCATCCAAGTAGCTGGTATTACAGGCACATGCACTACCACACACCCCACTAATTATCATATTTTTAATAGAAACAGAGTTTTGCCCTGTTTGGTCTGGTCTCAAACTTTTGGTCTCAAGTGATCCTCCTTCTTTGGCCTCCCAAAGTGCTGGGATTACAGCCATGAGCCATCACACTCAGCCAAGTTTGTTTTCCTATTCTATCTTAACATTTCTACTTTTGTAGGCTAAGAATGCTAATATCATTGCTACTAGAATAATAGTAATTTTTGTTAATAACTTTAATTTTGCAGTATATAGAAATTCTCAGTTAATTTGGTAATTATCTGTTCATGTCTTTTGAATAAGCAATTGAGCATTTCAGCCAAGCAACCAGCCTCCCATAGTGCCATTACTAGAATTGCCGACTATTTTAAGACATTATACTATAAAAGTACAAATGTAAATTAGATGACAAAGGCTCACATTTTGAAAGAAAAGCGTTATATTTGGGCTTTAGCTCAGATTAATGTGAATGAATGCTATTAAGTTATGCTACACTATGTAATTCTAAATGTGAATTGATTTTATTTAAAAAAAACTAAGTGTACTTGATTCTTTTTAAAGAGGGTGGCATTCATTTATTTTTATTAAAATGTAAAATAATGCTGATTAACAAAATGTTTAATTTCATTGGTATATTTTCATTATTAGTTTGTAAAGTAGAAAGTGTTTATTCTCCTTCAGAACTGATTCTGATTCCTAAAAAGCAAACTGTTCTATTTTAGCTCATATTTTTTTAAGAAACAATAAGGAAGTGATCTTTAGGCTGACAATTCTCAAATAAAATTGTGAGATCATCTGTGCTCGGGTATCTTTATAAAATAAAATGTGAAGATGAGGCCCTTTTATGATATTATTTGTTTTTTACACATGTTAAAATGAATTGCTTTTCAGTGTGATATTTGAGAGAAGAAAAGTGCATGTCTTCTTTTTTTCTGTTTGCATTTCAGCACCACCACCTCCACCACCATCAAGGGGAGGGCCACCGCCTCCCCCTCCCCCTCCGCACAACTCAGGTCCTCCTCCTCCTCCTGCCAGGGGAAGAGGCGCTCCTCCCCCACCGCCTTCAAGAGCTCCCACAGCTGCACCTCCACCACCGCCTCCTTCCAGGCCAAGTGTAGCAGTCCCTCCACCACCGCCAAATAGGATGTACCCTCCTCCGCCTCCAGCCCTTCCCTCCTCAGCACCTTCAGGGCCTCCACCACCACCTCCATCTGTGTTGGGGGTAGGGCCAGTGGCACCACCCCCACCACCTCCACCTCCACCTCCACCTGGGCCACCGCCCCTCACTGGCCTTGGCCTTTCTTCTGACGGGGACCATCAGGTTCCAACTACTGCAGGAAACAAAGCAGCTCTTTTAGATCAAATTAGAGAGGGTGCTCAGCTAAAAAAAGTGGAGCAGAACAGTCGGCCAGTGTCCTGCTCTGGACGAGATGCACTGTTAGACCAGATACGACAGGGTATCCAACTAAAGTCTGTAAGTAAGCTTTTTTTTTTTTTTTTTTTTTTTTTTCCCATTTTAGATCATCTATGATAATGGAATTTTAAAGTAGTTTATTGAAAGACACTTTTGAAAAGTTTATACTTTATTTTTCTCTTGCTAATTTACTCTTAACACTATAAATTTGAAAATATTTTTACATGCAATGATATGCATAAATTTTTAGTTCAGCTTTGATACATTTCTATAGCCATGTAACCCATATCTCTAAATCCAAATGTAGGACATTTCTATCACCCCGGAAGGTTTTCTCATGCCTCTTCCCAGTTAATTTTTCCATAAACAATCACTGATCTAAATATAGATTAGTTTTGCCTATTCTGGAACTTCATATGAATGGAATTTTATAGTATGTTTGCAATTCATTGTTCTAGACTTTACTTTCTAATAAAAGGTACTTTAAAGAAAAATCCTTATTAAGCTCTGAGAATTAAAAATAGCCCTACTTGAAACCAATTGCGATCACTTTAGGAAATCTAAACCAGTGATCATGTTCTGATGTTTTCATGTTCTGAAATTTAAATTAGTAGAGAATCAGACTCACAGAAATTGAAAGAGTTTTAACAGAATTTCTGACAGTGATGGCAAATAAATTTGGGATTATCTGATTTGGATGAGATAACCATTTAATCTTACAGGTCATTTAATCTTTTAGAGTTCAGCAAACGCTTTTCTGTAAAGGATCAGGTAGTAAAAATTTAGGCTTATATAGGCAATGTGGCCTCTTGTCATGACCACTCTGGTGTTTTACCACAGAAGCATCACAGCCAGTACGTAAATGAATGGACATGCTTGTGTTCTATAAAACTGTATTCGGATACTGAAATTTGAATTTTATATAACTTTCACATATAAAAAGTAGTCTTTTTATTTTCTTTGAACCATTTTAAAATGTAAATTCAAGCTTAGTTTTTAGATCGTTTAAAAAAAAAAGTCAAAGAACAGGCTGGATTTGTCCCATGGGCTCCAGTTTGCTGACTCCTACCCATCCTATAGCCTAACCTGTCTACATTTACATACTTACTTTGAAGTCTTTTATAACATGTTCTCCAGGACTTCAGGCAGGTCATGGACGATAGATTTTTCTGTGAAGTAAATGGAGATCACAGAGGACGTTTTAATAGAAAATTATTTTCCAGTGTAGGGATTAAAGTAACTTTCTAGATCTCAGAAGCTTTGTCTAAAAGGAGAGTGATAGATAGGAAACACACTAATTGAATGAAAACATGTAAACATTAGCATAGATTTAAGAAGACTCTGATCTTTAAAATATGTTTAGATCTTTTATTTGCATATATTCAGGATGACAGATAAATAAATCTATAAACTATCATCTCTGTTCTCTTTCCCCATTTATATCAGACTAAAGATCTCTCAGAAGCAGTTGACAAACTTTAAAGAGTGGTTAGTGGGGAGAATTAATGTCAAAATGACCACAGCCAGCTGGGTGTGGTGGCTCATGCCTGTAATCCCAGCTCTTTGGGAGGCTGAGGCGGGCCTATCACGAGGTCAGGAGATCAAGACCATCCTGGCTAACATGGTGAAACCCCGTCCCTACTAAAAATACAAAAAATTAGCCCGGCATGGTGGCACACACCTGTAGTCCCAGCTACTCGGGAGGTTGAGGCAGGAGAATCGCTTGAACCCGGGAGGTGGAGGTTGCAGTGAGCCAAGATCCACTGCACTCCAGCCTAGGTGACGGAGTGAGACTCAGTCTCAAACAAACAAACAAACAAAAAATGACCACAGCCCAGCTTTTACCTTGGAATCTGTGCTGGTTCCTATGTCACTCTCATTCCTATGTCTTCCACTTTTTGTTTTCCCTTTTCACAACCAACTTCATTTCTTTCTCTCATTTAGCTATAATAAAGTGATTTTAAATTTGTAATGAACAAAGTTGTATCATTTATTTTGAAAAGTTAAAGTTAAATTTTCTATTTACTTTCTCCATAACTTTCTCCAATCCCAATGCTTTCTTTCTTTCCCAAAAAAAACCTGTTAATATCTTTTAGAAAGAAAAATATTTTCTATTCTTACATATTGGATAGGGGGCCGTTTTTATCCTAAATAATCACCTTCCTTTTGATTGCATTTAGTGCAGCCATAGAGTGCATATCAGTGAACCACTGGCATGTTATACATTTACTCTGAGTTCATAATTTTTTTTATAAAGACCATTTTGTGGTTGAAATTTCTATGGCTATGTTTCCATTAAGTCGTCAGTTTATTCTGTGATGAATATGATTAACATAAAACGTAGATTAAAGAGCTAGTAGGAAGCATTAAGTACTCACATATGTTTTAAATTCCCTGGTTTCAGACCTCAAATAGTACCCTGTTCAAGTAAGTACTTCAAAAAATATGTTTGATCAGATGTGCTCACCTCTGCTATGTGCTCTCTGCTTTACATTATCCCATTGCTTAAAGGTAGTCTAAATGTCCCTACTGCTGTTGTACTTCGAGAGCCTTGTGCAGAAATACAAAGCTCTGAAACTGTTATCTTTTTCATTTGTGGTACCTCTGTACAAGAAATAGTTAATACATAGTATTTAAATCCAAAATACTAAGCATTGAATCTGTATCTTAGGGGGAGCCACTTTGAATTTTTTTTAAAAAAGGTGTTTAGTCCAGAAAGAACAAGAAGTATTAGAGGAAGAGTTGTACAGATCAAAATGAAAAGTTGAATTGTCTTTGAGAAATGATTAAGAATTTCAAATATATATAAAAGTTTTGAAATATATGTAAAAACATATAAAACATAGGTAATCATTTAGTTACAGCTATACTATTTCATCTGTAATTATAATTCTTTTTTCTTTAATGCACTTTGGCACAGCTAAGTTAGGGACTGTTAGTTGCCTAGTGAGGCAGATATATTTTGAAAGCTGCTCAGTTCATCTCCTAAAAAGAAATTATATACTATGAGAAAAGAGTATATATTTTGAAGGTATAAATATAACATAAAGGTGTAAAGCTGATTTTTTTGTAGGCAAACATAAGTTTCCACAGTTGTTTTTCAATATCTCTAGTGTACTTTCCACATAATAACTCTGGAGTCTAAATAAGTATTACCCTTTTTTTTATAAAATGAGTTCCCTTGATAATAGCTTTAAAGTTGATCATCTAAGTCTTTATGTGCTGTAATAAACAGAGGTAACCCAGCAAGTATTATTCAAGAAAGGGTTTGTTATCTAAATATAAACATAGATTTGGAAATGCATTGTTGGCTTATACATTAAGATGGAAAGGAAATATTTTTAAATAATATCTTCAAGGCAGCACTTTGTTTCTTGTTAATTTAATTAATCTTGTCCTGGGCTTGCTAGTTTGATATCTTTTTTGTCTTTTATGATTAAAAGGTGATTCTAAGAAAGTAAGACTTTCTGGAGACAAAGATTCTTTGCCAAAGATTTATTATTGAGTTTTGCTAACTTTATTTTCCAAGGTGTCTGATGGCCAAGAGTCTACACCACCAACACCTGCACCCACTTCAGGAATTGTGGGTGCATTAATGGAAGTGATGCAGAAAAGGAGCAAAGCCATTCATTCTTCAGGTAGAGAGAGAGAGAGAGTGTGTGTGTGCATGTGTATTTAATAAATTTGAATGTTTGAAGTTCAGTTTTTTTTTTTTAATTTTATGACTGTCTTTGCTAGCTTTCTGCTAATTGAGTAACTAGTGATGTGGGTTCTAGGGTGTATCTTAAAAGTTGTTGCCTCTTTGACTAGTCTGTCTGAAACTTGACAGATGCAACACCACCACAGCCATAGCCATAAATTGAAAGAACAGCCTTGGGAAAATTGACAGTTTTGTTTCCTGTATCAGGAAATGCTCAAAGACTTCCTACCAAACAACTGCTAAACAGAACTTGAGATTTTTAGATTTCATTCCTGTGATATTACTATGACATAAAAAATTCAGGTGCTTTACCTCATCTGCAAGGATTAGAGCTAAGAATTTATAATTTTCACTGTTTCTAGAGTTTGCTAAAGAATACTAACTTTTCTTAAACCTTTCTTTATCATTTTCTAAAAGGTTATTTGAATAAGCCAGTACCTATTTTGAGGTTATTATTAAACATACACATACCATCATATGAATGAATATTTCTTTAAAGAAAGAACAAGCATATGGGTTTTACTGATTGGAGTGTTTGAGGTTTGCTAAATAGCTTTTCCAACATGATGTACTAGAGTCAGATCTCACTAGATTTATTTAATCTCTGTGAGCCTCAGTTTCTCATTTGTTACATTGAGAGAATTCACAAAGCCCATGATAGATGTGAGAATTAAATAGTATGTCACTAATCAGCAGATTGCCTAGCACATAGTAGGTGCTCACTAAATGTTATCTTCCTTTTCTTTGTTTCTCTGTAAGGATGTGCATGTCTTTAGATCCTTGAGCAATGTTTGTTTTCCTTAAATAGGCATATTCCTATCCTGCATTACAGAAATGGAGATAAATATTTACTGTGGAATAATAATAAATTTTAACAAAACAACAGAAATCTCTGCCTTCATGGACATGCGTTAGGTCTAATAAGAGAGAGAGACAAGCAATAAACAAAGCAAACTAGAAAAACATACAGTATGTTAAGTGGTGACATGAACTAAGGACAAAATCTAATAGAAAAGGGAAATGAGGAGTTACAGACTGTTGAGAGGGAAGTTCATTCTGAAATGGGACGATAAAGCCTAACTGAGGTGACATTTGAGGAAAGACTAGAAGTTCAGGAAGTGAACCATGTGGAAAACTGGGGAAAGTGTATTCAATGGAAAGAAAAGCAAATGTAAAGTCTGTGAGGTTGAGAAACAATGAAGAGATCAGGAAGCTTGCAAGGGAGGGAGGGAAAGAGTAGTAAGGAATGAAATACAAGTAGTAGTAAGTCTTTGGAGACCCCTGACAGTAGCTTTTGTTTGTTTGTTTGTTTGTTTGTTTGTTTGTTTGTTTGTTTGTTTTTGAGACGGAGTTTCACTCTTGTTACCCAGGCTGGAGTGCAATGGCGCAATCTCGGCTCACCGCAACCTCCACGTCCTGGGTTCAGGCAATTCTCCTGCCTCAGCCTCCTGAGTAGCTGGGATTACAGGCATGCGCCACCATGCCCAGCTGATTTTTTGTATTTTTAGTAGAGACGGGGTTTCACCATGTTGACCAGGATGGTCTCGATCTCTTGACCTCGTGATCCACCCGCCTCGGCCTCCCAAAGTACTGGGATTACATGCGTGAGCCACCGCGCCCGGCCGACAGTAGCTTTTATTCTGAATGTGATGGAAAGCCTTTGGAGGGTTTTTAGCAGAGTAATGATCCAAGCAAGAAATGATGGAGGCTTGAACCAGGTTTATAGCACCAAGAAGTGGTTAAATATTAGTTATATTTTGAATGTGGAGATCACTGGGTTTGCTGGTAGTTTGAAAGTGAAGGTAGAAATAAAGGGAAGAGTGCACGGTGACTCCAAGGTTTTTGACTTAAACAACTGGAAAAGGGAGACTTAGGAAGAAAAAGTTTGAAAGGGAAGATTAGGAGTTTGGTTTTACATATTAAATTTGAGATAATCTTAATTCAAATATAGATATGGAGTAGAATTTGGTTATGAGTCTGGAAGTCATAAGAGAGGTCTGAATTGCTAAATTGCATGTCAATAGGATATACATAGACCCAGTATTTAAAGTTATGCTTCTGTCTATGGTATAGTATTCTTTAGTAAACTCTAGAAACAGTGAAAATTACCTAAGTTCTTAGCCATAATCCTCACAGATGAGGCAAAGCGCCTGAATTTTTTATGTCACAGAAATGTCACAGGAATGACATGTAAAAATCTCAAGCCTAGTTTGAAGGTTGCTTGCTAGGAAGAGATAAAGGTCTTCATTCTTTCCAGATAGGAGAATGTAAGCCTTCTGTGAAATACATGATTCCGAAAAAGAATTTATTCTATGCTGGTATCTGTGAGTTCTGTTAAACATTTCCCTACAATTAAGGTTTTTTTAAATAATATATAATAGTCATGCTAATATAATGACAATATAGGATTGTTTTTACTTATTTTCAGACTTGTTAGCTATTAGCTTTTAACTATTTAACTATTAATATTTCTGCGGTAGTATCTCATGATGGAATTATTAGCTACTTCCCCCTCTTCACCATAGATACTGATAAATTTCTGTCTTTTGTCACTCTGTAAATACCAGCATAGTTGGGTGTCTTTGATGCTTTTCATTCAGGTAAATTTTGTAAAGCATGTCTAGCAAAAGCTGGTAGCGAATTATTTCCCTTGCTAGAAAAGTAAACACAGAAGTTAACAGGAAGTCAGTTGAACTCCTTTCCAAATAAATTCTGTAACAATTTAGAGCTGACCATCAGACATAAATAAATAATAAATTATTATTGCTATAAAAGTAACAACTTAGGCCAGGCATGGTGCCTCACACCTGTAATCCCAACACTTTGGGAGGCCTAGGCAGGTGGATCATCTGAGGTCAGGAGTTCGAGACCAGCCTGGCCAAGATACTGAAACCCCGTCTCTACTAAAAATACAAAAATTAGCCAGGCATGGGGATCGGCACCTGTAATCCCAGCTACTCGGGAGGCTGAGGCTGGAGAATGACATGAACCCGGGAGGTGGAGGTTGCAGTGAGCCAAGATTGTGCCATTGCACTCCAGCCTAGGCAACAAGAGTCAAACTCCATCTCAAAAAATAAAAAGTAAAAATAAGTTACAACTTTGTTTGGGGCCAAGAGAAGTTAAAGTTGCCCCTCTTTGGCTTCTGTTAATTTTCAAGTTTTAATACCAGAGCTCAAGTACTTTTTCAGATCCTAAGACAATCAATTTTATATGGAGAAAAATAGAAGAAAAAGTTTGTTCTGTGTTCTGTACATGTAACCCACACATATGTCACATAGTCTTACTGGTTGTTTATCATTAAATGCAGTTACTCAGCTGCTGTCTCACTTTATATACTTGGTCTTCATGGGTCCTATGAGGTATATATATTTAAGAGGTTAAATATGGAAAGTCTGTATAATATAGAAGTATGTGCATAAAATCTAATGATATCTAAATATTCCTTCAACAAGTGTTTATTGAACAGCTGATTAGTAGCACTGTTTTGGTGTTGAGGAAAAATAAGATAGGCAGGGTCCCTGCTGTCATGGAGCTTAATAAAGTACAGTAATTTTAGATATTAGTAAGTGATAGGAGGAAATAAAATGGAATAGGCAGTTACTGATGGTGGGGAAGGGGCTATACTTTATGTGTGATGGTCAGGAAAGGCCTCTCTGAGGAAGTAGTTTTTGAGTGGGTCCTAAATGATGTAAAGATTAGTTTAACGGAAGAAATAGTTACTGCAGAAGCTCTAAAGCCAGAATAAGCTTGGTAAGTTTAAGGGACAGAAGGGAGGCCATCTTAATAGGGATAGTGACTTGAAGGGAGTGTGTGTTATGAGAAAAGCTTGGGGGAGAGGGAGAAACAATAACTGGGTAAATCATGTAGGGTCTTTTAGAGGTAGGAAACATCAGATTTCATTCAGATGGCAGTGGTAGGTAGCCACAGGAGGACTTAAAGAAGGGTAGCAACATGATGTTTTTAAACTTGGAATTTAAATAATATCACACCATTTGCTGTGAGGCAAATAGACTCTAGAGTTGCAGTAATCCAAGCAGGATGTGATGGTGGTGTGGAGAGTAGTAGTGAAAAAAGTGAAAGAGAGCAGGCTTGATAATTGGATGGTGAAGGAGGAAGTAATCATAATTTCTAGGTTTTTGGCCTGATTAGGTGACAGGATGGTGGTGCCAGTTATTGAGGTGGAGCAGACCAGGATGGAGCAGGAAAAGAAGATTGGGAAAGGAGATAAAAGTTAGAAGTTTGAATTTGAGAATCTACATGAAGAATACAAGAAGGCAGTTGGATTTGTGACAGAAAGGTCAACCCAGATGTGATTTTATACATTAACACAGGTTGAAATTTGTCACATGGATACTAAGGAATTAGAACCCTCGTCTTCTGAGTCCTGTTTTAATCTTTAGTTTACTATCGCACTCTATAGATATCTTTCTTTAGCTTCACTTTAAACTATTTCAGTAACTAGATTCTTCTGGGAGTCAGATTATCTGTGTTTCAGGAGTTAGATTGGAGAAATCACCCAAGACTTATGTAATGTGGTTTTATTTATGCATATATTTTGGTTGTGTGTCTCAATTTTCTTCTAGATGAAGATGAAGATGAAGATGATGAAGAAGATTTTGAGGATGATGATGAGTGGGAAGACTGATCTATATATTATATATATATATATATATATTTTTAAGGTGAAATACTAAACACTACTTTCTTTCTGTGGATTCTGTAAAATTATCATGTAAATGTTCTACCAATTTGCTGTATATTTTTGTTGCCTTTTTTGCTTTTTTTTTTTTAATTAATCTGTGCAATACCTCATTTAATCTGTAAAGGTTTGTCATAATCCTCTACAAAGCTACTCCCTGTTATTGTGTGCAAGTTTACACCAGGATGCTCACTTGATTTGTGAATAGTTTTCATTCCATCAACAAGGGAGTTTAAATACTATATGTGAGACTGACAAAAACCTTAATGTAATTTACTTATAATGCCAGAAGGAAAACACTATTTTCATACCCTACTTTTTCTGTACCTAAATTTTCTTAAAAAAAAAAAAATCTAGTATAGCACTACATTCTTTTTTAAGTGATGCAAACCTTAGTTTCTTTAGCCCCTTTATTTTGAATACAACACTACATATGAATGTTGAAGCCGATACATTGCACAGTTCTCTAGACATCACTATACTGATGCAGTTTCTCAAATTTTAGCAATATGCTCTACATAAAATCACTACAGAGATACTAGTGGGGAAGATGAGTAACACACCTCTTACAGCAATACTGCCTGTTATTGGGATAGCAGTGGTATTTGCAGGCTGGAATCATAAGGAGCCCTTACATACTTGTTATTGACTAAGGTTATTTTGATGCTGTTAGCAAATGTGGCAGGCCTTTTTTGGCAAAATTTTTGAAATTTTTTTTTGGTATTATTATGAAACAAAATTTAAGTTGAAGTTTGGGGGATTTAGGGAGTACTTTTCATTCTACATGAACTGAAGTCATATTGTGGTTACTCCAATATTTGGTTAAAAAAACTATACAAATCAGAATAGTACTAAAGTAGTGTGGAATTTCAGCATTTTTATTTTGCACTTCGTGTGGATTGAGGTATTCAAAAATACCAACTGTGAAAATCTAACCTAGTTGGCAAAGATATTCACTGAAACGCAGGACCTCACATGCATTTATTTTGATAATTTTTGACGATTTTTGTCAAATAGCAAGTGAAGGGTTACATTTTTTTAAAAAGATCAGTGACCCCAGTGTCAAATTTCTTGGAACACATAACTGAGTGATAGATTCTTTTTAAAAATAAAACTTTACAACCTGCACATTTGTTATGTATACTAAATGGTGTGTTAAAAATAGGGTTTCTTTGCCTCTCTGCAATACACTAATCTGCCAAAAGGTGGTTGTTTCATATTTATAATGCTAATTATCATACCTACCTACTTTAAATTTTAGGTAGAAAATTATCTGATTTAAATACAGACATATTTTTCTCACATTGAGTCATATGCATAATGTAGTTCCAAATGTATTTCATTACTTAGTCGCAATATCCAACTAAAAATTATGCTATCTAGAACTGTACCGACCAAATCTAGTATTGGCAGATCTTGACAGGCTGGACCTGCAAGATGTGGCTTGAATTTTAACCATTTATTACATAATCTATAGTGATCATGCATCTAGTTATCATAAGAAATAATTTAAAAGGTTTTGTTGCTGAAAGCAGTAAGTGGTGCAGTAAAATAGTTAAGTTATTCAAAGAATGTTATCTTTCTTGCAAGAGTAATTTAAGCACATGGGAGGAAAGATTCTAGACTTTTTGTTTCTTGCAACAACAGTGCCCTCTGCTGCTAGAAACCTTTTTCTACTTACTATCATTTTTATTGTGGCTTGAGCTCAGTGAATCTGGTGCAGATGAGGCTGAACAGCTACTAACCAATAAGATCAGGAATTTGTACAAAAGTTAAATGGGACATTATAATTATTTTAAGTAATGTTAATTTTTTTTTTCTTTTTGACAATATGAAAACATTTTAAATTTCCTAGAAATGTCTTCAAGGTAATGCCAATTTAAGATCTCTCTTAACTTTTGGCCAAGGAATTCAAGATTTTCGAGCTAACTTTGGTATAACAAATATTTATCAGGAACTTGTCTCAGCAGAGAGTATCCATTCTTTGAAGTCGAAGCACAATTTTGAACATGTAAGATGGATATATAATTTGCCAAAGGTAATTGAATTTATTCTTTTTTTCTTAAAGAAAAAAAAGACTTTGGTTGTTGTTGCACAAAGTCTAAATTACTATTGGTTGAAACACAGCAGCTGTGGAGTTCAGTCCAGGCATGAAGACTAAATCTGCTTTACCAAGTAAGGTGTAAGGTTGCATGTTTCAGTCCTCTACCATCTTGCACTGTGAGCAGCACTATACCTGTGCGTTGTCTGAAAGCCTCTGTATATTCTCCAGCTATATGGTTGTCTGGTAGCCTTTGCATTTAACAAACTAGCATGAGGCTTTTTTTATATCTAAATGCTACGTGATAGACAATTTCAGCTAGCCACATATTGTATGTATGAGATTCATAGAGACTTTCAATCATTTCATTTTCAAACAACTGAAATTTTGTTTAGTATGTGAATTTTTTTTTTTTTTTTTTTTAAATGTATAGTGAATAGGATGTTGCACTGGTGGCAATTCATCATGGAGCATAATAAAATTAATTTGACCCAATAGTATAAAATAGTGTGTTTTATTTGTTTATTGTTAAGAGAGTAACTTTATAGCAAAGGGTACACAGCAGTCAATGATAGTGGTTGATGTTTTCAGCAGACTGCATGCCCTGAGAGTTAGAGTGTGCCATTAAATAAACATGGTGAGCAGAAGAATGTTACACCCTGTTCTGTTGGGAAACATGACAGCTGCTCAGCGGCTCCGCTAGAAGCCACTGCTGTGGTTAACAGAGCATTCACATTGCAAGGTCAAACTGTTTGGAACTCTTCCACATACCAAAAATGTTGAAGTTTTCGAAAGAAGAATAATACTGGAGTTTACTGGTAGTTTCAATAAATGCCAAATATACCAGTTTGTATGGGACATAAGTAGCTTTTAATAAGTGGTATCAAAGAGGGTGCTCATTTTAAATAGGAAACTATTTTTGATAAATAGAATTTTCTGTTTCACTGACCCTGGCACAAGTGGGTGTCTGAAGATTAAACTGAGTTGGGGAATTCAGAGTGTAGGATGCTACAAAATTCCTTTTAAGAGCCTTGGTCAAATTTAACATCCATTTCAAGAATAATACGTTCTATTAAAAAGTTGTTTCTGTTGTACAATTGTGAATACTTAAGAATGTCTTAAACTTTTAAAAGAATTGTTTTAAAGAGAAGTGAAATGTGCCTAAGAATTGTTTCTGTCACATTTTTATCTAATCAACAGAGGGGATTCTTGAGATAACTCTGCTTTAGGAATGGAGTTCCTAAAGGACAAGTATGGAGAGAAGGCTTATTTATAGTACAATGGAAAATCCTGTGTGGAAAAGTTGCAAAATTTTACCTTCTGCATTTGTTGGTATTGTCATATCTCACCTCCAAAACACAGCATTCTTTAAAATCTCTTGGTCATTTATTTGTGGATTAAAAAAAAAAAAAAAACTGCTTTCTAGGGAAGCCTCTGGGAAGGATATAATACACCGTTACAAATATGCTGGGGAGCATGCTTTGCAGCTATTGCCTTTACTTCTGTATGTGATATGTAGCATCCTCCATTGCCATGAGGAGCCTATTGAAAAATTTGTCTCCAGATGCGTCTGCCATATGTTTTTCTAAAAAAGAAAAAAGCATCACAGATTATGTTAACTGTTGATACAGTATTTACTGTTACATAAGTCCATTGTAACTCTAAATTTGGCCATGCACACCATTATCAAAATTGGCAAATCAAGATGTGAATGGCACGTAATTATTTTGAGTAAAGCATAACAGATTGTAGTTTATAGGTGGTTTTCAGTTTAATCAGATATTTGTGTATTGGGGCATTTCTAGTAAATTTGAAGTAGTCACTGAATAACAACCACAAAAAAAAATCTGCCTTAGGATTTTTTAAAAAATGTTTCTATTTAAGAGAAAGTTGAATTTCAGCAGTATCAGATTGCATTATTGAACTTGAACAAAACACTATTGAATTGGTTGGCATTTCATGACCTAAATTTTGTCTTGTCTTAGTGATTACTAGATGTGTGTAGATTTTCATCAAGGCCTAATTCTAAGGATTTTTAAAGCATCAATATCACCATATTTAAATAATTATGAACTAAATATGTGGTGGATCTTAAGATATGACAGTGGAGTAGGATAGGTCCCCACCCACATCTACATCATTTAAAATACTTATTTCATAAATGAAAGATGTTTGGAGACCATTGAGTGATATGAGAACAGAAGCACATGGACATCACCAAGCCTATTTTCTCATTTCACAGGTGAGGGTAGTCATTCATGTTCACAGGGCTTGTGGGGCCTGCCCGAGGTTAATTAGAACTAATAGTAGAAGTCAGATCTGACAGCTGCTCTTTTTCATGTACCTTAATCCTATTGTATTCCTTTCTTTTTCTTAAATTAAGGATAAACTGCAGATTTAGTTTGTTTCTGAAAGGTGTATGGCTGCAAATGTCACCCTTCCTCACTTATCATCTGGGTGTTGGAAGAAGCACCTAACATTCTGTGTCCATCTCTAGCCAGAAAAGCTGGCTGGCTTTGAGGAGCCAGCCTCTGACCCTGATGCATGTGATTGTATTTTGGCTCAATGGTGGCAGTCACCTTACATTGCCCAAGCATTTGGTCATCACAGGGCACTTCTGTCATCTAGTACAGAGTTGAAACGAGGTTGAGCTTTTCATTCTACATTAAATTATTTTTGTTAGTTTCTTACAGATGTAAATAGGCATTGTTTTTACTTAGACATAAGTATTTTATAAGTCTTTACAATCAACATGTCTGACAGAATATTAGTTTGAGAACATATTAATCTTTCTGAATAATTTTTTGATCAACAGCTGCACTGTCAATTTAAAGAGCAGGAGTTCTTCCAAGGACCGCAAGGACAAACAATGCTTCAAATCCAGCTTCCTGGCTTTATTATGGATGGGAGAGGGGGAGATCCTAACTGGGTTCCATGTACTTCAACCTTACTGGAGAAGAGGCAGAAAAATAAAATGTGAATCTTGTATTTGTGATGTTGAAAGAAACAAATGAAAAGGCATTATCATGTCCATTTAACTATGGGAAAACGAAGGTGTTCATGTCTCAATTCTATAGTTGTCTTAAGGGCAAGTATAATTTAGGTCCTTAAATCAGCGTCTGACCTAAAAAGAAACAACTTTTTTTTTAAGCTAGGTTGGGAATCTAAGGAGGCAGGGAATGGAAAGGAGAGTTTGTGTTTATAAGCATATTTTGGTGATCGGGAGAAAGCTCAGCAAGTAGAATTAAGAAATACATTTGAATCTCCATTTTTAGGAACAAAAACTAGTTCTACAGGAAGAAACTCATATTTGTTTTTTGTTTGTTTATTGAGCAAGGATGTGAATGCATAAGGACCAAACTTTTTCTTAATTGTGTTAGCTAAAGTTCAAAACTACACTCGACCATTCAAGTATAAGGGATTTTTCTTTCCTTTTTTTTTTTTTTTTTAAGTTTTCTGAACTTAGCTGTAGATATAAGCATAGCCCTAGTATTTCAATCACTTCCTTTCCAAGCCACCAGTAAATGGACCTCATGGTTCTATTTAAGTGGCTTTGCTTTGGCCATGGTTGATATCTGGGTGCTGTAGAACATGCTTATAATGGACTTGCTGCCCAGAGATGTTTAGGAAGTTCAAGTAGATTCTGAGCCAGATAGTTGCTTTAGATCTACACCAGTGCCCAAAAGTTCTGTAGCCAACATACTGCACTAACTTGACATGGTTTAGACCAGTTAGACTGTGCAAAGAGAGAGAGTCTGCGTACTACCAGAGCCCAAATTTAGCACCCTGTTTGCTTTAGCACTTGTATCACTTTGTTTTCCAAAACTCAAAGCAGCAGAAAAACTGATGTGTTATGGGAATCACTCTTATTTTTCATGTGTTTTTGTTTCCAAGCTGTCTAAATCATACTAACCAAGATTATTAGACTAGCTTAGGAAAAACAAATAGATTGTCCATTTGAGTTCAGTTTTGATTCTGTAAAGACTTTGCAAAGCCAACTTCACTAACCATTATCACTACTATTAAATAGTATTTGATAGGTTGTTGGAAAAGATAGTTGCCCTTTCCACTGCATGGCAGGCTAACACTTCAGTGTAGTCTCATCTTTGAATCTTGGTGTTGCTTTGTGATATTAGGATTGCTAGTATCACAATGATCCCACATAAGATCCCACATAATGATCCCACATAAGAACTGCTTGACATAATAAACTTGGGGTCTTTCAACTTGTGAAAAACTATCGCTGTATCTTCACATTGGTAAGATTTTACACAAAATTGAGGCTAAGGATAGGCATTGAAAAACTGTAAAGGAATTTTTTGAAGGGTTTCCCCAGAAAGCTTTTAAATATACATGTTTCTTAAATATTAATGGTAAATGGTGACTAAAGCAAGAAAGAAACATAAGGAAATGTTCTCCTATATAATCGAGTCATCAGAAATTTCCAGAAATATGATTTTCAAAGTCAATGGATAAATGAACTTGAATGCAAGCATTAGTCTAATGTCCAATACTAAAGCAAACTATTTTAAATGATTATTACTATAAGTTGGAAATAGATCCCAGAATAAAACAAATCTCTCATTCTATATAGTAATACATCTCTAAGATCATGTGACTACATAATGCTAAGACCCATGAGAAATCAGGCATTTTTTTTTCTTCTGTCACTTTCTTAGAAAGTTTTTATAGTTTATTAAGTTCCCTTGACACAGTAGGATTTGGGATAGAACTTGTGCACACAACCAATTATGAAAGAATGGCAAAAATGCATGCATTGGTGGAGAAGTAAAGGACAGCTGGAAAATCTTGACACACTGTTGGGGAGATATAATGATGAGTGTACCAACAGCTGAGGCCACTTCCAAATGTGCAAAAACACAAGGTCTGCGTGAGCAGGTCACTGGAGAGGCCAGTCTTGGAGCTACTTGATGTTATTTAGAAATTGTCTTAGTATGCCTGGGCAAGAACATTTATGTATATTGAAGTATATAAAATATTTATAGAAAGACCATGACCTGTGGAGATTTAAAACAACTTGGTAAGTACAAAGAGAAGGAATTAGTGCATAAATTATTCTGTGGCTTAGTCCATTTAGGTCGAGAAATAGCTTTTTATCTATAGGTCATGATTCTTGTGAGGTTTATGTGACTGTACTCAGCATCTAATCTAATGAGAAAATGTTGGTAAAACAAAAGGGTAGAGAGGAGATTTATGTTTGTGATTGTTACCCACAAGACCGATAATGGGCTCAGTGGTGTAAACAGGCTAGTTGAAAGATTTGGTGACTACAGGCTGTTTTATGCAGGATGGTTCATATCAAATTGCTGCATAATTTATTTCTAAATATGAGAGTTTTAAGTCACTGATGTAAGAAATAATTGCATATCCTTTAATCTTTTTGTCAAAGCTAAATCATCTATTATAATTGAGAAAAGGGGCCATTAACCATGGAATTTTGGACATGCAGAAGTCTCTGTGTCTGACGTGCTACTGAGAGAAAATGTAGGTACAGGTGGCATTTTAGATGAATATTTCTTCTGGAACAACTGGCCTGCCTAAATATGCACTTTGGCAATGGGATCAGTCAACTTGCTAGAGCTGTTCCGGCTCTATTCTGGAGGAACATAAATAGTGCTTTATAAAATTCAAAATGTAGAAAACTTTTTTTCTCAAGTGTTTGGTTTCATGACCTAAATTTCTAATAGCATTTTTTTCCCCTGCAGCATCTCAAAAGATAGAAACTGCACGATGTTGAACAGAAAACTAGAAGAAACAACAGGTTTGAGAGAATTATGGCATTGCTTCTCAGTCTTCAGTTACTGTCTCTCTTCAAAGCATTGCTTTACTTTTTCTCTAAATATTATGGGAATAGCCTTCATTCTGCTTATCCAATGCAATTTTGTTTTATAGTTCCTGCCATTCCCTCCTACTTCCATCCCTTGTTACAACAATGAGTACTAATTTTCAGGTGCAGGTACTAAGAGGGCAATGTAGCGGGGAGGGGATATAAAATGCACAGAGAAGGATTTGTTTTTTTGTGTGTGTGGGTTCTATAACTTGCAAGTGAATAGATACTGGAGGATGGGAAGCACAGTGAAAGTTTCATGGACTTTCTGTTAGTAATAACAAGAATACCTTCAAATATTTGTCCTGCTTTGCAGTAGCAATATGTGTGTGTATCAGTCCATAGTGGTGTTTTTCTAATAACACTTTCCAGAGGGCACAGTTGAGCCACTTAGTTTGCATTTCCCAGTGTAGACTGCTCTCTGACTTCCTCAGGGTGGCATCTTCTTGCCCTGTCTCCTTTCTACAGAGGTGGCTGTATGGGCTCTCACCTAGTTTCAAACCAGACTACTTTTTTATGACAGTGATGAAGCCATTTAGAGGGGCTTCCAAAAGTCCCATGGCTGTTATTCACTCCACTCCCAGACCTTTTGTCACCAAAATATTTTTTCTTTGAGGAAAATCATGTTGAAAAGAATTCTTATAATACTAACTAGTATTTATTGGAGTGCTTATTAAGTGTTGCGCATTACATGAAATGGTTTATATGAGCAAGATATCCCAATATTTCAGCCAAGGCAAATGAAACTTAGATTAAATAATTTGCACACAGTTAAGTAGCTAGTAAGTGGCAGAGATTGGGCTTCAAAATCAAGCCTGTGTTAATACAAACCCTTCACCACTATAGTATCCTGCCTACCAGTTAGCATTAAGACACCAGAGATGATGTGGATGCAATAATAAAATGGTTACTCCAGTATCTACTTTAAATGTGGGAGGCTTGGGATTTTTCTGCTTATGCAGAAAAATATGAAATCATGCTCTGATTAAAAAAAAAAAATGCAACAGAAAGGAAAATACATTATAATCATGCAACTAAACTAGCAGCCACTAAGGCAAGTTTCGAGATGAGGATAGCCCCAGATTTTTGGAGTACATGAATAGAATTTTAAAAATATTTTCTATGGTTTGCTCATCCCTTATTCCCATTCCCTACTTCATCACCAATGAAGTATTTTTTCCACTTGAAAGATTAGGTAACTGGTATGTTTGAGTAATCCCACATGCTTAATAAATGATTACATAAGAATTTATTTGGCATTACCTCAGAGTTTTCTCTGTGAATTTAGAGTAATATCTGCCAATGTGTCTTCTTAAGTATTTCCTATTTATTTCATACTTATGAGTGAACCCAATGGTGAGTTTTAAGGAGGTCAGGAACAACTTGGATTTGTTGCTTTAAAAAAAAAATTGTATTTCTTTGAAAACAGCTTTTATTAGTGACAGCTTCTGGGACAAAAAGGATTTTTTTTTAATCCATCCTAGCAAGTTCTAACAGGTCAAGAGTCCTATTAAATTTTCTATGAGCGTGTCTGCAGAGAGTCACCAGAAATTCTTGGCAGCACTTAGAGAAAAAGTTGGTGTTACCTTACTTGTCTTGAATGTGATATTTTCAACTATCTGCTAGTTTCCTGCATAATCACCACAACTCCCAATTGGTAACATGTTGAAAAAGCAAGAACTGCAGAAGATTGCAGTGTAACTCCTAGAGACATTCACAAATAGGTATCAATCAATATATTTTCCCTCTGACTCTTCCCCTTAAATGTAATTTAAGAAAAAAAAAAGCTGTATTTTCCCAATTTTGCCTCAGCGTAAAGCATCCCTTTGAGCTGCTATTTGTTGGATAATTTGTTCACAGGAATGTATTGGCTTTTAATCTGGGAGCTGCCGCCAGCCCACCCCAGCTTGACAGGGAATTGTTTCACGATAAATTCAGGAAGGACAACTTGCAAACTGTAACTCGAGAGTGGCTTTAGATAATTTGTTTTCGTGTTTATGTAACAGCGATTAATGGATCTTCTGAGATTCAATTTAGGGAGAAGAAGAAATTTAGCAATTAGTCTAAAGACTACAGTATTGTGATGTGAGAAGATTGTTACACGTTTCAATAACATGCCTAATTTTTAAAACATTCTAAGTATCTGGTTCCAAAAAAAGAAACTGTGTTGCTACCAAACTGTTTAACTTGTTCTAAAGGCTATACAGCTGGTCACACAGTGTTTCATTCTGGAACAAGTGATTAGTCATCTGAAAATTCATGCAGCATTGTCAGTGTACAGATATGTCAAAATGAAACCCTCAGCTTTAGATTGCAAATTTGTCTAATGAACTCAAGAGTTAAGGTTTTAAAGATAATGATTTCACCTCAGGATAGGTTGTTGAGAGAACCAAACTTCCATTTTCCAGTTGTCAACCTCAGCTTTCCCAAACACTCTCCCAACTGAAGCCCACACAGCGATACCTGACTACACAGCCTGACCTCTGCCCCAGATCACACATAGAAAAGGGATAGAGTCTTTGAGGGAAGAGGGTCAGCACGAGTGAATGCAGATATTCTAAGAACCTGGCCCTAAAATGTGCCAATGTTAGAGTAAGATGGTAGAGTAAAATGCCTACATTGGCTGCTCCTTAATGACGTGCTCCTTGGAGCCCCTTAGCCTCCATGTGTAGATCCTGTCCTGTCCTAGACCTTGAGGCCACTCTTGCCTCTAGAACCTCATTTCTCAACCACAGTCCTTTTTGATCAATGTAAAAATTTTGCATTCAAAATAAATATTTGTAAGTAAAAGCAAAATTGAAGATAAGTGATTTGTTATACAAGCAAGCCAAGACTTCAATACATTCCTTTCCTGTTGCATCATTTTGCAATCCGTCCACCTCTACTGAGAAAGCCATGTTTCTATAAGGAGCTCTAGGCCATTTTCTTTTGAACTGTCCAAACAGGACCAGTGACTAAGTACTCTTGTTCCTAGATGCCACTCCAAGCCATTCCTTTAGCTCCTTGCCTGTCCTTTAGTTCAGATATGCAGTATAGCTTCCCTTGCCTTTTAACTTTAGGAAAGCTAACATATGGCTTTCCTGCCCTGTTGAGGGTGTAGTCAAGTGCCTTATGCCCCATTGCCAGAGTCTGAGTCTGGCATTGCTCTGGTTGGACCCCATGGGTACATGTCCCACACGTCCACCCAACTCCAGCGCCACCGCTACGACAAGGGCTAGGTGGTAATGACTCTCCTACCTACACAAGAATTATTCTTTGCTGACTGGATGTCCCCCATCATCTGACCATCCAAATGGGCTGTTGGTTCTCTGACTCGGGCATTTCTGTCTGGCTTGCCCATCATTGATCCATAGATTGATCTACAGATCTCAGTTTCTTTCTTCAGGAGGTAGAAGCCATGGAATACAGCAATTCTAGTAGTTCACTTTGTTGGGGCACTTACCATGCTACTTCAGAGTCCAGTAATATTATACTAAAAGTGTTTGAGGGTAAAATACTTAAACCTATCCTCCCTTTTTGGCCTGGAAATATTTTAGTATATCAGCATGTCGTCTAATTGTGTGATTTTCAAAGTAAAAAATTTTCACTCAATCATGAAGTTCCAAAAGGAGCGACAGGATGGGGCTTTATAGCTGAGCAGCACCGTTCATGTAATAGCTAGTGATTGTACCATGGAAACGCATCCCATACCAGTGTTGACCATACTGGAGGAGTGGTGAGGGGTACTGTCATGATGTCTCTTTGTTGTTGGTAAGTAGCTAATTATCTCCATCTAATCAAATATATGTATTGAGACCTTGTGTTTTTGAGGCACAGAGATAAGATATAGTGCCTGATCCCCAGGATATCAGCCCAGTAGGATAGTAGGAAGAAAAGACATGTATACAAATAGTGTAATGCAATGCAAAATATAGTAGGTACCAAAAGAAAAGTTTGAGGGAAGAACAGAGAAGACTCAGAGGGAAGAAGGGAACAGGTAAATTTCACAGAAGTGAATCTTAAAAGATGAGTAGCTTATTGACCCAAGATGTTAAAGAGAAAATTCTGAACTGAGGAGACACCGTGAACAAAAACGAGGTAGGGAAGCCTGGATGGTGTTTGAAGAGCACCATCCGAGTTTCATGCTAACTAAAGGTGTTGAATGAACCAAAGGCATTTTCTGTCAGGCAAATTGTAGCCATTGTATGATATCAGAAATACAAAATTCATTATCATTAAGATTGCCATGTGAGCAGCGTGCATTTTCTAGGAGTCATTTGTTCAACAAACATTTATCAAATGTCTTTGGTATTTGGCCCTGGAGCACTAATAAGATCAGACATAGTTAATATCTCTAAACAGTTTATGTGGCAAATGCTCTGTGAAAATTCCATCAATGCTGAGAGTGTGGAAATCAAAGACAAGTCAAATGGGAAGACAGGAAGGATAGGGACAGAGAAAGCTGTACAGTGAGTTACATGTAAGACTGTGGGATATAGCAGAAGGTTTTGGAAGAGGAAGATGAGTTCAATTTTAAATATATTGTGTCTGAGGTGCTTTTTCATTTGGATGTGTGGGTTTAGAATTGTAGAGATAGACTTTGTGCTGGAGTAAAGCCTTGGGGGGTCATGTGATAGATGGTATTTCAAGATAGAGGCCTGGATCAGGTCACCTGAGGGAGAGGGTGGAGAAGAGCACAGGCTCTTTTGAATCATTCCTTTTTCCCCCATCTCCTTAAATCAGTAAGATACTCATCCTTCCAAGTGCCTCTTGGAAGATGGGTAGGCATTAACTAGATATGGAGAGTGAGAAGAGAATTCCAAAAAGGTAGATGATACATGTAAAGATGTGTGTCAAGAGGGGCCATCACTTGTTAAGTGAACTGTAAGTCGCTCAACATGGCTTAAGTACAAGGTATATTAGGACAAGCGATGGAAGTTGAGGCAGAAAAATGATCAGGATCGTATTTGCCATGCTAAAGAATCTGAACTTTATTCTGTAGAATATGAGTTACTATTGAAGTATTTTAAGCAGGTGACTGAGTGATGTGATCAGAGTTGAATTTTGGAAAAATATCACTCTGGCATGATGAAGAAAAATTGGGGGTGAATAAAAATGGAGACAGAGGCTAAGTGCAGTCGCTGATGCCTGTAATCTTAGCAGTTTGGGAAGCCAAGGGAGGAGGATTTATTGAGTCTAGTAGGAGTTTAAAACCAGCCTGGGCAACACAGTGAGACCCCCTTCTCTACAAAAAATTTGGAAATTATCTGGGCATGATGTTATGTGCCTGTGATCTTAGCTACTCAGGAGGCTGAGCAGGGAGGATCACTTGAGCCCAGGAATTCAAAGTTGCTGTGAGCTGTGATCATGCCACTGCACTCCAGCCTGACAGAGCAAGACCCTGTCTCAAAAAAAAAAAAAAAGAAAGAAAAAGAAAAGAAAAGGATGGAGATAGAGAATCTGTTAGGCAGTTACAGCTATGCAGTAGTCCAGATAACAGATTATGAGTGACTTAGCAAGAGTTTTTGTAGTGACCAAGGAGGTGTACCATTTTCCAAAGGGAAGAAAATTTTATTCACAGCTACAACTTTAGAGTGGCTCCTATTAAATAAAGATGTATCTGCTGATCATATTTGCTCATTTGTGTATGCAACAGTAGAGCCAGACCTGCCTTTGGGAGGAGGGTGGAAAGAGCTGAACTTGCAGTACATGAAAGAGTGAAAGAATTCAGAATTCTCAAGAGTAATCTAGGAGGGTGGTAATGAAGCAGAATCATGAGAAGAAAGAAGGGATAAAACAAGAAAACAAAATAGCCAGTGGGAATAAATTTTGGTGGTAAGTTAGCCAGAGGACTTTTTTTATCACAGGGCATCGAATATTCAATATGAAGTTGTTTGTGTTGCTATAATGTCAACCTTTTCTTCTTTTCCCAAAATTCCACGTAGTATTGAATCTGTGGAAGTTAAGAATGATGGCTGATGTGGTCAGTGTAGTTTGGAATGGTGGCATTAATCATAAGTTTGCAAGAGGCATGCCTAGAGTATGAAGCTGAAGAGGACCATGACCATACAGGCCTTCAGCCCCCACCCCTCCATCCAGGAATTCTCAGAAATCTTGCATAAGACTTTAAGCTATCATGGAGGGAATGAAGTTTTCAGTCAACTTTATTTGGATCTTAGATATAAGTTTATATACCTTTATATGAGAAATATTTTTTCTCATGTCAAGTAAAATGACATACTAGAAGATACACCTTTTTATCCTGAGACTTTGGGGACCCTCTGACTCTCCAGCAGAGCAGTGTGCTCATTTTTTGAAGGATCACACTACCCTCTTCATCTTGGTGAGTTTTGCCACGCCACCCCAATCTGATTTCCACCTCTACTGTCCCATGAACTTGCTGTCACCAAGGTCAAATTCAGGTAAACACTTTCTAGCTCTAGGACTCACTGAGGCATTTTATGCTGTTGACTGCACCTTTCTTAGTGCAGTTCTCTGCTTTACAACATGACTGGCTTCTCTCTACCCTCTCTGGTCATACTCAGCCTCTGTCATTCTCTACACTCTTCCTGAGTGACCTCATCCAAACTCCTAGCCTTAAGTACCATGCATAACACATGACCCACACATCCTTACTTCCAGCACACATCCCACCCCCACAGTTCTAGACCCACATGTTCAAATGGACAAGCACCTCAGACCATGTCTTTTAAGCTAAACTCATCTTTTCCCCCCTCCCAAACCTGCTCCTGCTATATTTCCTACCCCATTTTATGGCATTTGGCCCATATGGCCCAGCTAGGAATGCAAGTCTCCTCTCTCTCGTTGCACCACCGCCTGACCCCTACAGCTAACTAGTAACTGAATTCTGGAGTGTTTGTGCTTTCTTGGTCTCTGTTCTGTTCTAGACTCTTCACCTCTACACAGAGTTCATTGTTCAAATCTGCATCACTTCATTCTTAGATCATTACAGGGGTCTCCTAACTGATTTCCTACCACCAGCCTAGGCCTCACTGAATCCATTCTTCTGTTGGTTACAGAAGTCATGTTTTTAAAACCTATATAAATATCACGTCACTCCTCTTGAACTCCTTTGATGCTCCTCTTGGCTTTTCGTAATTAATTAAGTCCACATTCCCTAGCTTACACCAACTTGCTCAGGACAGACTCCTGTGATGCTCAGCCCATACCAGCCTTCTTATTCAGATATAGAAAATGGTACTGGCTTTTTAAAATGCATCTTACAAATACATGCTCTGTGGTTCAGATCGTCATATAATTTGTCTGAGAGAAACTTGGTCAACTTGACAATTTAGTTGAAACCTAATTTCTAGTTTTGGTGTACCACAATGATGCCACACAACTCTATAGTCTGTCTGGGGGGTGGCTTTTTAGCTGTGGTTTGTCAGCCAATCACTTCTTCTAAGGGCTTTTGGAAAAGTTAAAAGTTAGAATAGCTAAATAGTAAGGAAAGAGCTGAGACAAACAAACTGTATAACACCAGAGACAGGACTAATAAAAATAATCTAAATATCCAACAGTTCTTGAAATTGCTTAAATAAAATATGATTTTAATGGTATGAAACTGTCTTCCCCTTTTTGAAGAAAAAAAATGTTATGTGTATGTTCAAATATATATTAAGAAGAATTTTTAAAGATACGCACTAGGCCAGGCACAGTGGCTCATGCCTGTAATCCCAGCACTTTGGGAGGCGAAGGCGGGCAGATCACTTGAGGCCAGGAGTTCCAGATCAGTCTAGCCCACATGGAGAAACTGTGTCTATACTAAACATATTTTTAAAATTAGCCAGGCGTGGTGGTGCATGCCTGTAATCCCAGCTACTCGGGAGTCTGAGACATGAGAATCCTTGAATCTAGAAGGCCTAGCTTGCAGTGAACTGAGATTGCGCCACTGCACTCCAGCCTGGGTGACAGAGAAAGATTCTCACAGAAAAATTAAAATATTAAATAAAAAGTATGCACTAGAGTTATCATTACTTGTTCTGTGTGGATGGGATTATGGGGTTCTTTGTGTTCTTTTGTTTATCTGTATGTTCTGATTCTTCTTAATGATCACACACCATTTTTCTAGAAAGAAAAGACCATACAGAAACTATACAATATTTATATTCTTAGTCCACCGAAATTATCAATACTAGAAAAGAAAACCTAAAATATTAACTTTTTACCAAATTATTTTTTATACAATGACATTAAATCCTATGGTTTCCAACCATTTTTTATACTAGCCTTTTTCCTCAAATTGAAATGTCTTTCCCAGTCCTCACTACCGAGGAAACTTTTTTTTTTCTAGCCTGGTGACTTTATTGTTTAAAAATTCTGATTGTCACATTCTCTGCAAAGCTTTCCTTGATCCAGTGTCTGCTGTAGGTCAGGGATCTGTAATAAAATATGGTTCACAGGCCAAAGCCATCCAGCACCTATTTTTGTACAGCCTATAAACTAAGAAAATTTTTACTCTTCTGGAAGGGTTGGTTTCCTTAAAATTCCCACTGCTCTGAGGTAGAGGACACTTTCTAATTCAGCTTGGTCCCCCCAGCCTAGAGGAGAGTACCTTGTCCATAGGAGCCACTTAATAAATAAATGCAGAATGCAAGGAGTGATGTAAGCTTCCTCCTTAAACTAGAATGTAAGTTACATGAAGACAGGGGTTCTATTGCCTTTGCTCATTGTTTATCTCTAGTATTTGGAAGAGTATCTGGAACATAGCAGGCACTCAGAAAATATTTGTGGATGTTAAGCGCACCAATGTTAGTACCATATTTCTGAGTTTTGTAAGTTTTAGATCAATTCTTAGTCTTTTATGTCATACATTTGGCAATTTGTGGAAGTCCACCTTAAGAACGTCAGATAAACAAGAAAGAGGCAGCTTTCCCTGTGTCTAGAAAGGAAGCAATTATGAGATCTTTTCAAGAGCATATTGATTTACCCCTGTCTTTAGTGCATCTGCATATAGACATTGCTGCCTGTAATTACCTCTTCCTTTCACCCAGTAGTAACAACTATCTCAGGGCAGGTATTAAATCAAGATCCTGCTGACACTGAGTTATTAAATACCTGTGGCAGCAGGGCTCATGAAGCAGAGGGACTCAGCATCCTGGCCCCATTTCAAATCAGGGTGAGCTGTACTGAACTGTACTTTCAGAGATTAACATGCCCACATTAATCATAGCCTAAACACTTCATCTGGTCATGGACAGTCTCTCTCCCAGTGAGGTGAAAGCTCTTTACAGAGGATGAACTAATTAGTTTCGTATCAGCTCTATGAATTTCCAGGGAGGATGGACCAGGATGCCTGTCCTGTGCTGAATAATGATCATCATAATACTTTGCATGTTTACAGTACTGGATTCTGAAATAACGTATTCTAGAATTTTTTTTATAATGATAAATGTACCCACTTAGAGTCTGACCATATTATACTTGTCTTATTAAGTGCTTTATAACTTTGTTTCTTAGTTTGATGTGAGAGCCTGTATCTTCTTTTAAATATTGTGAAGTGCCTAGTAAGTACATGTTGCTCTCTCTTAAGACACAGAAAGCCACAGTAAGGCAGCCTGTTAAGATGCAAAGGAGAAAACATGTCTCCTCATTACTCCCTTCTGGTGAGAAGGGTTGGTCCATCTCCCCAGCCCAACCAGCTCTTGGTCATGCTCGTGCTAGCCTTTTCCTCTTGATTCAGGAGGGCTGCCACACCCCACTCCTGGGATTTCTGCATGGTTTAATCAATGACCCTGTTTATCGGCAAACTTTTGCTCCTCTGCCTCATCATATTGGAGGGTTCACCTCCCACAACCCTTTGATTTAGAAGAGCCCTGTCTTCATGCACTCACAAGGGTCAGAGGAAAGGAAGGCCTGCCTTGGCTTTCTGTTCTAAATTCATACACATGCACACATATATGCCTTTTAAAAACCTACGTTTCACCTTTTATTTCCTTGAACAACAAGAATAAGTGTAATTGTGAACACGAGTGAAAATAGTGAAGAGGTGAAAATAGTGAAGTCTCTACCAAAGGAAATAAGATTTCCACTGTTCTAAGAACAACAAACCTTTGGGAGGTTGAGTCTGGATGGAAGAAGAGAGGTGTAATGACACAAAAGGAGCATGGGCTTTGCAGTCAGAGATACCAGCCTTACCCTCTCTGTACCTCAGTTTATTCATCTATAAAATTGTGATAGCACCTTTTAATGTTGTTGTGAAAACGTGAGACAACTTAGTTCAGAAAATGTCAGTCACCTCCCCTCCCTCACATGGATCAGGGTATCTACTAACTCATGGGCCACTGGAATCCTCTTTAAGTGATTATGTCAGTTGTTTTTATTCTGTAAGAGAATGGCTAAACAGTAGAAACAGACTCAAAGAGCCAGGCCAAAGGACTATGGGAGAGATTTTCTAGTGAAACACAATCCTTTTGATTAGAGACAATCCAAAGCTCTGTATATGAAGCAAACAATTATTTACTGGGTGACTCAGAGAGTTTGCCAAGACCACTGTTATAATCTGTAGGACACAAAGGATATATCGCTAATCATAGTTAATACAAAGGACTTTAGAGGGATTTATAACTTTCATAAATTAGAGTGGAGCACTAGAGTGAAGTGAAGGTAATTCAATATGTCTTTTTCTTATTTGAATTCAGACACCTCTTAAGGGTAGAAGGATAGCTGGAGATTTCAAATGCATGTGCCTCATGTCTCCATGTGTATTTTTTGAATGTTGG